CCCCCCCCCCCCCCCCTCACAGTCAAGATGTTCGCTGCTCGTCAGTCCTTCAACCTTTTCCAGAAGCGTAGCTTCTCCGCTTCTTCCAGCCAGGTAAGCTTAAAAAAATCATTAAAAAAAAAAAAACAAACCTTGATGGCTTGCAGCCTCGGCTCTATCGTGAACACCGGAACTAATCATCTCAATTGCGAGCTGTAGCTTTCCAAGGTTGCCGTCCTCGGTGCCGCTGGTGGTATTGGCCAGCCTCTCTCCCTCCTCCTCAAGCTCAACCCCCGTGTCACTGAGCTTGCTCTCTACGATATCCGCGGTGGACCTGGTACGTCGCACAGCTCCCCGGCCAACAGGCCATCAATTCCATCGCAACCATCAAACAAAAACAAGACTGACCATTGTCCATTGCAGGTGTCGCCGCTGATCTGAGCCACATCAACACCAACAGCACCGTCACTGGCTACGAGCCCACTGCCTCTGGCCTCCGTGATGCCCTCAAGGGCTCCGAGGTCGTCCTCATCCCTGCCGGTGTTCCCCGCAAGCCCGGCATGACCCGTGACGGTATGCGCTAAAGCCTCGAGCTCAACAAATCCAGTGCCCAAAACTGATTGCATCATCGCAGACCTGTTCAACACCAACGCCTCCATCGTCCGCGACCTTGCTAAGGCTGCCGCTGAGGCTTCCCCCGAGGCCAACATCCTCGTTATCTCCAACCCCGTATGCATTGACCTTCCCTGATTTGCCAGCCCTTTCGGCCGGCCACAGAACTCGGGCTAATCGTCATCTCATCTCCCAGGTCAACTCCACCGTCCCCATCGTTGCCGAGGTCTTCAAGTCCAAGGGTGTCTACAACCCCAAGCGTCTCTTCGGTGTCACCACCCTTGACGTTGTCCGTGCCTCCCGCTTCATCTCCCAGGTCAAGAAGACCGACCCCGCTGGCGAGGCCGTCCCCGTTGTCGGTGGTCACTCCGGTGTGACCATCGTCCCTCTCCTCTCCCAGTCCAACCACCCCGAGATTGAGGGTACCACCCGCGATGAGCTCGTCAACCGCATCCAGTTCGGTGGTGACGAGGTCGTCAAGGCCAAGGACGGTGCCGGTTCCGCCACCCTCTCCATGGCCATGGCCGGTGCTCGCTTCGCCGAGTCCCTCCTCCGTGCCTCCCAGGGCGAGAAGGGCATCGTTGAGCCCACTTTCGTCGACTCTCCTCTCTACAAGGACCAGGGTGTTGACTACTTCGCCTCCCTCGTCGAGCTCGGCCCCAACGGTGTTGAGAAGATCAACCCCGTCGGCCCCGTCAACGAGTACGAGCAGAAGCTCGTCGAGACCGCCCTCGGTGACCTCAAGAAGAACATCCAGAAGGGTAAGTCCTTTGTTCGATCGACCTGGTCTTTTCACCCAGGTGCTAACTGAGTATTTTCTAGGCCGTGACTTCGTTAAGGCTAACCCTTAAATGATCTAATTTCCTCAACTGGAATGATATGAACCAAAAACCTCTTTTCTGCAGCCACGTTCCTCCTTGTATAACAGTCTAGTCGTTCTTCTTTCTCCCCTGTCACGCTAAATATCCTAACCCGCCCTTGGCTTTTATTCTGGAGGAATGTTGCTGCAGCATCATGGAAGCATCGGAATCGGGTTTTCCTTTGTGTGTCCCGAAGCCTCGAGGGGGACTGTGATGGGGGAAAATGGACCCTGACGTGTATTTTCCCGTTCCTCAATACAGACCAAAATCTATGTTAATGATACTACCCCTTATGACATCGCTGGTGATCCTGAATGCTGTAAGACCGAGCACGTATACTGTAGCGTAGACACAAAGCCTTCAATACCAGCACAAGAACTGTGGCCGAATAGATTGCCACTGTCTGGTCCTAGCATTACCTCCCGATCTAAGATCCAGTTCAACAGGAGATGGAACATTGCATCCAGTCAAATTCCGGCAATAGATTAAGGCTCAGGACAGATCAAATAAATACATGCATGCACTTTCATAGGCAGAAAAGAGAAAATCCGAAGCAAAATCATCATTTCCATCATGGCTCATCAAGACAAAAAAAAAAAAAAAAGAAAAGAAAAGAACTTCAACCCGACTCCGGACCAAGAAAAACCAGGCGATGCGCGTGTGTTTCAGTCATGACTTCGTCGGAAGATGAATGAATGATCTTCAAGCCCCCATCCATCCATCTTGCGATGCTTCCGCCCCATGCCAAGAGAACAAGACAAAAACAACCTTTGCACACCACGTGCTCGAGGGGAGAGATTTCTTCCCAAACGCCAATTTGCTCTTCTTCTTTATGTTAGTCGTCATCATTGCATTCGTCAAAAACAAGAAGTGGAGATGTTGACACGGGTAGGTCGACGTGCAGGGCAGCCTCAGGTATAGCTTCGCATGGCGTCGAGGTATCCCGTCCCCCCGCGGAGGTCCTGGTCGAATGTGTCGGCCACGGCCAGGACCCGCTTGATGTGCTCCATGGAGAGGGGCGTCTGCTCGTTGACGGCGAGGGCTTGCGCGGTGCGGACGGAGTTTTTGATCTGGCGGCGGAAAAAAAGCAACCGTTAGTCGGCACATCATGGAGACTGACTACCTCTACAGGGTTCTGGACTTACCTGGCGTCCGTTCAGGTTGTGGCGGGCAAGGAGGTCAAAGTCCTTATCGGTGAAGGGAGCGGTCTGCACCCCTTCCATGGCCTGGACTTTCTCCAGGAACATCTTCCAGACACTGCGCTTGGCCTTGGTGGTGAGGTCACCGTAGCGGAGCGCCACGTGGATGCGCGATTGGAACGCGTCGTCGAAGGTTTCCACGCGGTTGGTCGTCAGGAACAGGATGCCTTGGAAGTACTCCAGGAGACGGAGGAAGATGCTGACCAGGGCATTCCGGTGGATGTCCTGGATGGTCCGCTTCTCCAGGAAGATATCGGCCTCATCGAGCAGGAGGACCGCACCCCACGAATGGGCGATATCCAAGATCTTGTTGAGCTCGGCTTCCAGCGTGCGCGAGTCGGTGCCCAGCTCGCCTGCGCTGACCATGTACAGGGGCCGCTTGAGCAGTTCGGCGATACCTTCTGCTGTGAGCGTCTTCCCTGTCCCTGGAGGGCCGTGAAGGACTGCGACTAGCCCCTTGCCCTTGCCCTGGATCACATCATCGATGTTTTGGGCCGCTCGGAAGGTGTGAGACTCAACCAGCGCCTTCACAATGGACTTCTGGTTGTCGGGCAGCACCAGAGAGCTGAACGCCTCCTCGTTCCATTCAATCTCGCTAATCCCGGAGATGCTGAACTCCAGCCACAGCTTCTCGCTAAAGGCGAACCCCAGGACTACTGGACTCGCAATCAGCAGCTCCTCCTCGGTGAAATCCCGCTCGGAGGGGTCATCCACTTCGTCTATGTCCTCTTTCTGCACCTCGTTACCATTCTCGTCCAGTTCGACTTCAACCACGTGTGGCTTTCCCTCCTTGTCTCGAACCACCTTGTAGCGTGTTCTGGGCGTGTCAGAGTCCCGCGATGGTCCACCACCCTGATCCGAATCCGAATCCGACACGCCACAGCAGCAGCCATCGTCACTCCCGTCTCCGTCCGACCCATCCAGGTAATCCGGATCCTTGGGGCGAACGGTGCTGATAGGATAGTTGGGGTTGATGCGACGATGGATAGCCGGGTCGATCATGACCCTACCGTTGATGTTGACTTTAATAACCGAGCGCTTCTTCTTGTAGAAGCCCATGCCCTTGTGGAAGCGGTAGTTCATGCCACGCAATGCCACGAACTTCTTGCCCCGCTCGATCAGCTTGAGCTTAATGGCCTCCGCCTCGCGATGATATTTCAGGGGATAACAGCCAAGACTGGTGATTTTCCGAGAGCCCTTGAAGGATTCGACCTCCGCCGCCATCGTGCCCATCCCGAACGACTTCCCGTCATATTCCAGGTAACGCCCTTCGATGCTGTACCACTGACCTTTCATGAAGGACGATTCTTTGGTGGCGTACTCGATCTTGAAGGCACGAGGCTCATCCACATTGCCGTACGTCGATGAATAGGCGATCGTGTTAGGCTTGAAGATGGCCCACAACAGGTCGAAGGTGATCATGTTGGCGTCGAGCAGTGGGTACAGGGTCTTTTTGGTATCCGCATAGTCGGTATCCAGGTACTTGATGAGCACCTTGAGGTGGGCGGCCTTGAGTTGGGCTGCTTTGCGAGCCTTCTTCTTTCTTTCCGTCTTGGCCAGCTGTCGCAGTTCGCGCATGTATTGCCGGGTCTCCTCCAAGTACAGAAAGAGCATGTTGGGATCGACGACCGCCGTTTCCTGGACCAGACTGACGCCCTTGACTCCGTCCATCACCTTGGCCAGCGCATCGCGGATGTACTTGCTCTTGAGGTCCACCACCGTCTCCGTATACTTGTTGTCCCAATCGAACTTGCGACGTACTGTGAAGAGGTATTGGTCCCACTCGTTGGCTCCAGGATCATCGACCGTCTCGGTCAATTTGTAGTTATGGATTGTATTGTCCCATACTAGATTCGAGAACAGTCAGTATAACGTCGCGTTGAATTCGATGCTCAAAGCACATGTTATGGATGGGGACGAGTCGCAGCAGCACGTACATTGATCCACCCGCTTGAAAGCGATCTTCGACGCCGCCTTCTTCCGGCCCTTGGACTTCTGTGACGACCCCTTTGAACCATCCGCGTCGGTTGAGCTCCGCTTTCTGCGTCCTTTACTGCGGCGACCGTCATTCAACTTCAGTCGCAGGGCCGCCAACTTCTGCTTTGCCAGGAGCAAGGCCAGTTCCTCGGAGCCATCATCCTCGTTGTCATCCTGCTGGTCCTCGGAGGAGTCCTCCTTGGAGCGAGATTTCTTGGAGGAACGTTTGTTCTTGAGCTTGGCGACCAGCCTCTTCAAGGTCTTCTCATCGAGATCGGAGTCGGTGTCCTCGCCATCCTGGGAGGAGGAATCCGAGTCGGAGTCCGACTGTTGGCGAGAGCGGGTGGACTTCTTCCTGCGACCGCTGCTCTTCAGGGCTTTCTTGGCTCGGGCCTTGCCGCGCTTGCGCCGATGCTTGCGGTCCACCTCGGATTCGTCGGAGCTGGAGGAGCTAGAGGAGGAAGTGGAGGCATCTTTATCTGCGGCAGAGTCGTGGGTGGTAGAGTCTGAGTCGCTGCTGTCGGAGTCGGCAGCGGAAGAGCTGTCATCGCTGGGGGTGACAATGGAGGAGGTCTTGGTGGAGCGATGGGGCTTCTTCTTCTTCGACTCAGTGGCAGCGGTGGGGGGATGTTTGGCACAGACCGTCGCCTTTTTGGCGGCGGGTTCGGGGGCGGGGACAGGCGGCTTGGCCTCTGCTTTACCCGCATTGGTCTCCGCAGGCGGGTCACATTCCAGCTTGTTATTCGTACTCGTCGTGGTCGGAGGAGTCGTGGTGGTACTACTAGGTGAAGTGGTATTGGGAGGATCTGGTGGAGGATGATGGTGATGTTGAGTAGAGCTGGTTGGTGCACTGCCTGAATTATCAGCCATGATGAGGGTGGCGATTAGTGGACTGTGGGACTGTTGTATTCTGATCTATACTATCCGGGTGGGTCAGTAGAAGCAAATCGCTGCAACGAGGATAAGTGAGTGAGAGGAAGAAGGGGAAGAAAAGGAAGAGGAAAAGAAGGTGGAAGACAGAAGAAGAGAAGGGAGCCAGGGAGCGAGCGAGCGAGAGAGAAAGAAGTTAGGAAAAGGAAAAAAAAGAGAGGCACGAAGCTGACCAGCGAACAAACAAATTGATGCCTAAGAAACGCCGCCTTGCGTGCGAAGTTGCGGAGGGTTGTTGGTTGGCACAATTCCCCGTTCTGGCGGTGTGAAGGTGAGGCGACGATGCAAGTTAAGGGCATGAAAATAAAAAAAGAAAAGAAAAGAAAAGAAAAGGATTGGATTTCTATCACCATGAACAAAGATGAAGACGCGGAGAGAAAGAGGAGGAAGAAAAAGCAAAACACACAAAACACACAAGCTGATCAGCAGGAGCAGTTGAGAACCAGGATCATGGGGAATGGGGAAGACAGTTACTATAAGTGAGCGAGCGAGTGAGTGCCTTTCGGTCACGGAGGACAGACTGACAGGCAAGGCTGTCGGGACAGGCAGGCAGTAACTAAGCTGGTACTGTAATGTAGTAGCACTGCAACTCAAACAGCTGCATCATTTCCAGCCGCAGCCTAGTTAGGAACTGACTGACAACTGACTGGCTTGACTCAGAGAGTGTGAATCACACTGAGGCTGCTCCTGCACTGCACCGCGCCAGCCTGCAGTCCGTGCAGCGCTTGGAGCTGCAGCCAGGACGAGACCCCGATGATCTCCAGGAATGAGCTAACTAATGGATGGGAGTGGAGCTGAGCTGAGCTGAGCTGAGCTGAAGCTGTCTGTGCCAGCTGCCTAGTCAGATTGGGGGAATTGTGAAGAAAGCTAGTCAGCAGAACGTTGCTGCATAAGGTGAAGCGGAGAGCCCTAACTGACTGCAACAATCTGAGGTAACTCGCGGCATCGCGACCACAGCTTCATCTCGTGCAGCTGCCTGCTTCCAACACTAAATCGAGGCACATACTATGATATAGTATGACATAGTATCAACTCCGGTAGCTTTCTCGGTAGCTATTCAGCGTTCACGTTGCCAGTGCCATCAGCAGCTACAGCGAAGATAGACTATCCACAACACGTATAGGCACATGGGTTGGCAGAAGGTTAGAACCTCAAATTCATATTCCCCTCAGCCTCTCGAGGTCAGCATCTCCTACCGCGGCCAGGCTTATGGTTCATATCGAGTAGACTATAGATCTGATATACAAGTGATAGAGTTATTCTATCTATGCTATAGCAAGTGATGCTCATGAGTCAAGTCCCTCATGCCCAACACTGAGTTCCATAATTCCACAGTCCCAGCCCAAGACCCAGTATACAAGCAACATCAACCCTCTATCTTCACTATAGCAACTAGCCCTCTCAAGTCAAGTCCCATACCCAGCACACGTAACCCTCAAACCCCTCCTCCAGAACCCACGTAACCGACAGCACCCACCCAAACCAGATAACCCCCCCAGCGACGAGTGTTGCTACCAAAACAGAGCGAACCAAGTGAGAGATGATATCGTAATGAGCCAAGTGAATGAGAGAGAAGCCCACCCCCACCCCGCCTAAGCTAAACTAAGCTCCCCAACTCACCTCGAGTGAATTCCCAGTCCCAAGTGATAGAAAGCCCTTTTCTTCTTGCCCTCAGAGTTTAAACTCTTGATCCATCCCACACATTCCCACACATCTCTCATCCCATCTCCAAAGAAACACCACCGAATCCAGCCACCACACCACCTCAGCAAGTTCACAAACCAACCAAGCACCATGATGAAGACCGAGTCACCTCCCCCGGACCCGGAGGGTTCGTCCCCCTCGTCCGGGTTCACGCCCATCAACCGGCGGAGCGTGGAGAAAGAGAAGGGAAGTGTTGGCGTAAGTTTGTTCTCTGCAGCTTCTCATCACCACCGTGGCCATGGCCATGACTGTGATCACGACCATGAACATGATCTCACTCACCATGACCTGAAGACCTAACACCTCGTCATAATGACCATCCCACACAAAAATCCCCCAACTCAAGAAGAAACCTCACTAACCAAAACACCCACAGACCTCACGCAAACGCAACACTCAATCCGGCTCGACATCCCCCAGCCCCGCGCCCAAGAAACCCAAAACCGAGCGTTTGTCGTCAGCTTCCTCATCCTCGCAAGCGACCACCGACTCCGGCGAAGAATACAAAGAGGATGAAGAAGACGAGGAGGACGAGGAGGACGCAAACCTCACAAGCACCAGCACCAGCACCAGCGACGAGGCCACCCCGGAGCCCAAGTCCAAGTCCAAGTCCAAGTCCAAGTCCAAGTCCACGTCCAAGCCCAAGCCCAAGCCTAACGCTAAGTCTAACGCTAAGTCCAACACTAACCCCAAATCCACCCCCAAGAAGCAACAGCAGAAGAAGAAGCCTTCCAGCAGTACCCCCAAAAAACCCACCCCCAACACCCCCACAACCCCAAAAGGAGAAGGCCCAGGCCCAGGAACAGGGGAAAGCACCACCACCACCCCCAGCAAAACCCCGAAAACCAAACTACCGCCGATCCCGACCACCCTGGCGGCGGCCACGGCCGCGGACCGGCTGATCCTGGTGATGCGCGACGACCAGAATCGCACCTGGGCCGAGATCAACGCCGCGTGGAAGGAGCTCACCCACCTGGCCGTGGGCCAGTCGACGCTGCGCATGCGCTACAACGCCATGAAGGCCAACTTCTCGGCGCTGAGTGCGGAGGATGTACGTTTCCCTTTGCCCCAAACACAAACCTAACCCCAAACCCAGACCCATGCCCCAGGTCGAGCCGACCTCAAGAAGAAGAAGCAAGACCGAAAGATGGGGGGTTGAAATCCAGCGACACGTTTAATTTGCAGGAATCGATGCTAACGCAGACACCGATACGCTACAGGAAGAACTGTTCCGGCGCACGAAGGAGACCGTCGAGGCCAAGTTCGCGCAGGAGAAGTGGCGGCTGATTGCCGAGCAGATGGAGGCGACGAGTCAGAAAAAGTTTCCGGCGGCGGCGTTGGTGAAGAAGTGGAAGGAGTGGGAGAGGCAGGGTAAGGGGAGGAGTGGTGGTGGTGCTGCGGCGGCGGCGGCGGCGGCGGCTTCTGTTGCTGCGGCGGCGATGCCGGTAGGTAAAGATGGAACCTCGTCTTCGGGGGGTGCTGGTGATGATGAGGAGGAGGAGGACGACGACGACGACGACGACGGTGAGGAGAATGGTGCAGAGAATGGTGGAGCTGAAGCTGAAGCTGAAGCTGACGAGGATGATGTGGTGTAAAGTGAGGGAGTGAGGTGGGATTTCCCGACTATCGACTTTTCTACTTCGACTTCAAGTTCAGATGGTAGACTTCTCTCGTCTTCTCGCCTCATCATCGGAAATTGCTTGACGCTGTTCGCACTTGACTTCCAAGTCAACAGGAGGGGTTTCTCATGTCTTTCTTCAACTTTTCTGCTTTCCGCGTTGTTAATGGAGCATCAGGTGAGGCAATATCTCTGAAAACATGATGACAACCTGGACTACTTTTCTTACTCTGCATGGTTGTTGTCCTTTGCTAGCACAAGCATACGAAAAACGTGCTCACTTATTTACTTGTCTCTCTTCTTCCTTCAGTCACATAAAATCCATCATTCATTCAATACACTAAAGCTCCAAACCAAGAAGTAAAACAGACCTTGCCCACCTATCCCAAAACACAAACACCCGCCATGTCAAATCCCATCAACAAATCAGAAAAGAAGCAGAGCAGGTAAGAAGGTATCGTTTGTACCAGACAAATGCAGAACCAGACAAAACACAACCAGACAAACCCCACCTAAACAAAACCCAACCAGGCACAACCAACCAACAAACTCAGAAACTCATCATCTCCAGACGCCCATCATGCAGTCGCCCGTCCAGACCTCCATGACCCAGACCATGACCGCCCAGATCTTTCATGTACTCGTCACTATCGGCGCGGGCCACGATCGCCGGCCGGATCTTGGTGCCCACGAAGCCCCGCCGGTCGCGGCCGGTGCGGCCCCGACCCAGCCAGTTGTGCTTCAGATCCTTGCCGAGCGTCTCGACCTGCTCCTGGGCCGTGTCGCCGGTCTGCACGCTGGCCAGGACGCTGACGCACTGCAGCATGCGGCCGACGGTCTCGGTGATGATATGCGAGGTGTCGGCGGCCGCGTTGGCCCGGTGGATGATGCTCGGGCGCTGCGGCGGCGAGGAGAGAGACTGGAAGATCAGCTGGTCGGGATTGGAGGAAGTGTTGGAGGCGGCGCGGCTGCGACTGCTGCTGCTGTTGTTAGTGTTGTTGTTGCTGCTGCTGTTGTGGCCGAGCAACGAGTCCGAGGAGTAGCTCCCGGACTGGGCGTTGAGGAGGGTCGAGGATTGGGAGCTGTAGCTGCCAAAGCCTGCGCCAGCACCGCCGCCGTCCAGCGAGGCAGCGGTGGGGGGCCGTCCGCCACTGGCGGAACTGCTCTTGGTGGTGACGCTGAGCGCCGCCGTGCCTAGCTTGATGCTGTCCAGACTCAGGCGTGAAAAGGTCGACTTCAGACTCTCGTAGCGGCGCAGGATGATTCGGTCGCGGAAGGCGACAAGGACGAGATTGCGCACATCCAGCTCACAGCCAGGGTACTCGGCATTGCGTGCGGACCCCCAGAATTCACTGGCTTCACGCCGGTTCATCACGGACCCGCAGCCCTTAATTTCCAGGTCCAGGGGCAAGAACACGGCCTGAATGAAAGGCAAGATTGTGCCGAACACGAGCATCCACACCTGCACGAGGTGGGGAACCAGCTTCTCATCCGGCACCCCGTTCAAGGTATGGTTCAACGAAGCGAATCCGGTCTCCAGCAGTTCCCGCAGGTCGTCGACCACCGCCGCCGGAGTGCGCTTCTGCACACAGCGCTGGATATGGACGAGAACCAGCTTGTTGAGATCCTCAATCGCGATGCGCACGTCCTCCCCGTCGAAGATCACCATCAGTTTCGCCTTCAGGAAGTCCCAAGCGTCCTCCGGCGTCATGTTGTTCAGCCCGAACCCTTGGAGAGTCTCCCGCAACGCAGCCTCGGCGATCAGCCCGGAGGAGCTGCCCAAAGATGACGGCCCGGGGAAGACAGCCGGCGACCCTCCGGGTCCCTGTGAGCTAGCTGCCCATTCCATCTGCTCCGATTCCGCCTGCGCCTGCGCCTGCGCCTGAGCGTGCGCCTTCTCCTCTTTCTTCTTCTCGCGGAGCCCATGCAGCAGATCCAGCCCACTCACCGACTTGCCGAAGGTCGTGCTGGTGGCTCCCGGCGACGCGGGGGTAAACGAGTATAAGGACTGCGGTGCATTGGGGTCTGACGGCTTCGAGTTACTCGACGCGGACGACAGCGGGAGGTTGTAATGATCGTCGCGATCCTTCAGCTTCAGCTTCTGGCGCGACAGGAAATGGTGTTTGTGTTTCTCCTTGTCCTTGTCCTTCTCTTTCTCGCTCCCCGTCGGCCGATCCGCCGGCACGACGGTGCTCGCGGACGCATTCGACAGGTTGTACATGGAAGAATTGTTCGACGGGAAGGTCTCCGCCAAGCTGGTGGTCGAAGCGCTGACGATGCGGGACAAGCCCCCACTGGGGAACCCCATCTTGCTTGGCGAGGGCAGTCCCCTTTCCTTGCCGGTCCCGTCCTTGTCCCGACTGATGCCGATGTGCTTGGGTTTCGAGAAGAGCTTCATCTTCGACTTCTCGCCCTTGTGCTTGTGTTCGCGCTCCTGGGGGATCTCGAGCCCAAGCCCGGGCGGCTGGAGCCCTGGATTTCGGGGGAATACCACGTTGGCCGCTGTCGTGGCAGCATGGGCGTGTCCGGCCGCGGTGCTGGTGCTGCCATTGGCGTAGGATGGCTGCCCGGCTGATGCGCCAGTCGCGCTGGCTGGTGTCGAACCGGGGGGTGCGAAGGTCGGGGGTGGGGGAGGCGGGGGAGGGGGCGAGATGCTGCCGCCGTGTCGGGAACGGGAGCCGTCTTCGGAGACCCCTCGTACGGTCGCGGGTCGTTTCACGGGATGTTGGGGGTTGTTAGGTTGTTGGTGTTGTTTTTGGGGATGTTGTTGATGTTGGTGCTGCTGTTGCTGCTGTTGCTGTTGCTGTTGCTGTTGCTGTTGCTGTTGCTGTTGTTGAAGCATGGCCGTCTGGGCCGCGATACGAGAAGCTGACAAAGAGACATCGGTCGAAGAAGCGGTAGGGAGCGATGGTTCAAAGAAACCCTGGGAGTGGTGACGAGAGCGTCGCTGCAGCTCAGCCGGGACGACCCGTCCCGAAGGCTTTCGACTCAGGATCTCATTATGCGGCATGAAGGAGACGGGGGATCGCGCAGATGAGGTGGTGGTGGTGGTGTTCGAAGTGGTAGTAGTCGAAGCGGAGGTGAGATTGGCGGTGTTGAGCGAGGAGATACGCGGTGGCCGCGGCGACGCAGAGGCAGAGGCAGAGGCAGTGCCAGTAGTAGGCGCAGGCGGCAATGGGAAATTGGATTGCTGCGGCGAGATGGCGGTCACATTGGAGGTCATCGACGAGGCATCACTTCCAGAGGAGCCAGGACGGTTGTAAAAGGTATAGGAGTAGGAATCATTGTCAAAGGAACGGCGAGGCAGAGGGGGGATGGGAGGGGGCGGACTCTGCGAAGCAGGAGGTGGAGGAATCGGAGACCGCGTGCCTCGCTCTGGAGAAACCGGCGAGCGCAACATTGTGAGTGTACAGTACAGTAATAAGTGTACAGTACTACCTTGACTCCATGATCTGAGAATAAGGGAACGTAAGAAAGAATGAGGGTGTGGAGTTTAGTTAATCAATCAATTGCAGAATTGGATTAGTCGAGAACTTCTTTCTGTCTTGTTTTCCCTGAGAGAAGATCAGCAACCACTGAATGAATTGATCGAATTGAATCGATTAATCTTTACGGAGTACCGGGTGTCGATCCCCTCCTGAAACCAACCCTCAAACCCACCTTTCCGCTTTTACTCACTCTGCTTCTCTCTCCATCTTTTCCTCCAAGGCTCCAACACCCTCCTTCTCTCCCAAACGAAAACGACATCACCAACCCCACCATCACCACGAATCCTTCCCAAACAATCGAACACAATCGCAATCGCAATCCCCAACATGTCCTCCCCCCCCAAGCTCGAAGCCATCTACACAGCCCCCGACCAACAATCCCACACCTTCACGCAACCCATCGCCGCCCCTCTCCCTCTCCCTCTCCCTCTCCCTCTTCCTGCCTCCAGTGATCCCGCCCAAGTCCAATCCAAGATCACCTACCTCGCCGAACTCCGCAAAACCGTCCCGGCCCTCCAGAACGCGATCAACATCTTCCTCACCGAGAAAATGGAAGAGGACAAACAGGCCGCCGACGCCCAGGGCCGCCACCTCTCCGAGAAGGAAGCCAAGGAGGAAGCGAATTACGGCGAGGAGGTCGTGGACGAGGAGGAGGATGCTTGAGGATACACCCCCCCCAAAAAAAACGAGAGTTGTTTCAATCCCACAGATGAACAATTTCTGTGTGAGCGCGGCTGAAGATGGGGCTCATCTACACTACGCCATCGACATATCAGGGGCGTACGCTTACGACAACATGATGATGAGATTGACAACTTTTCAGGGAGGCTATGATATGATTCGATATGATATGATATGAAGACGGGCAAAATATGAAAGATGCAAAAATATGAAAAGAGATCGCTATTCCCCCCCCCACCCCCCGGGTATCATCGTGCAGGAAGCGTCCGCCCCCACTCCAAATCGGCAAAATATGTGAACAAGGCGATCAGGAAGGGAAATACTGAAGGCAAGAACAGGCGGATGCAGATGAAAAGACGGAGTCGCAAATATACGATACCACAAGAAAAAAGACCATAACTTCTATTTACAACCACATCGACTACATCAGGAAAGAGACCGCTTGCGGTTGGCGCAACCAAGGTGGACAACTGTATTACTGCGGGGAAAGTCAACCATCGATCTCTTAATGAAGCACATGAGGGCAAAGCAAATGACGTACTCTGGATACACGTTGATCACACTCCCCCCGATGCGCTTGTGGCAGATCCCGCACACCCGCTCTTCGGTGATGGTGACATGTCTGGATCGCGACCGCTTGGGATCCGTGCCCTCCCCCACCAGCAGCTGGGCTTGGGTCTTGATGTTCTCGGCCTTCTGCAGGCTCGCCACGATCCGGCTCTCGTTGAGGATCGAGTTGGCGGCGCGCATGCGACCCTTGAAGTAGAAGTCCAGCTCCTTCACCGGGAGGGTTTCGGGGATCAGGTCCAGTGCGGACCCGGGAGGCAGGCGGGACCCGTGTTTGGCCAGCACTTCGAGCGCCGGTCCGTATCGTGGCTTGTATCCGTGGGGCGGGGTAAGATAGAGCGCTAGGAGAGTCAAATAGATCGACGGCTTGTCTTCTTCGTAAGCCAGCAGAGCCACGCAAGGCCCGCCTTCTTCGGTAGACGCTATATCGTCCTGTTTGTGGAGATGGTTGCAGTATCTATGAGAATATTAGCCATGGGCATTGAACCACGCTCTCTCAGTGATAACCTACTCCTCAGCCTTAGCATAGTCCTCCAGCTTGAACACGTAGATCTCCAGCGCCTGCTTGTGTTGTCCCATCTTGCTGAACACGATTGCTCGCGCTTCGAACAATTCAGGATCTAGAGAAAGGCAAGTCAGCGGATGAAGGTGGCGAGAAACGAAAAAGACAGACATACCGTCGCGATCCAGGCGGTTCAGGATCTTAGCGGGAGAGTACTGCGTACTCGACCTGAGCATGGAGAGGAACTTGGTTCGCCACGCGACGTGCTCGTCTTCACTGGCGAATTCCCCCTCCTTGTTTCGGTACGACTTCAAACGGTCCAGGTAGAAATTGAGCAGCTGCTGATGTAGATCCGGCGACATGTCGTTCAGCTCGCCGATGACATGTTCCAGGTAACGCACGGCCAGATTCACATCGATGCCCCGCAGGAAGTCCAGCACGCGATGCCGGGGTAGGGTCTCAGCGTTCTCCGTGTCCGCCAGGAAGATCTCCATGCCCAGCTCGGGATCTTCGCGCAGCGGCCATTCGGCGAACTCGAGGATGAGGTCGATCCGGTCCGGCGGGAGGTTCTGCAGGTAGACGACAGTCCTCTTGGGACCGTGCAGCTGCGGCGCGGTCTCCTCTTCCTCCTCCGCCCGGCCGAACCGTTGGAGAAGCTCCAGCGCCTGTCGGTGCAGTTTCTTGCCGTACAGGAAATCGATCAGATCGTTGTGCCGACCGGTCTCCTCGAGCCTCTCCATGACCACGTCGGGGTCGCAGAAGTTCGCGATCCGGAAGAGAGACCCCGCCAGCGCAGGGATCGCATACATGTACGCCCGGAAGAGGGTGGTGTCGACGAGTTTGGCCTTCTCGCGGATTTTCTCCCCGAACTCAGGATCCTGGATATCCTTGGTGCTTGTCTCGAGCAACTTCATCACGGAATCAGTCAACTCATCCGGGGCCGCGTCCGCCGGCATATCGAACGCCTTCAGGGATCCATCGGGGTTGAGGAAGCGCTGGAACCGCCGACGGACGTCGGCCAGGTACCTCTGCAGCTCCCGAACCGCCAGCTTGAGATCATTTCCTTCGAGGGCCTTGTCGGTCTTGGCGTCTTCGGTCATCCTCGTCCGGATACTGGCCGCATCGTCGAATGTCTCCGTCTTGGACCGCAGCAGCGACATGACCGAAGGGGCGTGCGAGAGCGTCTTGGCCGTGGCCGCAACAGCCGCATCCGCCGTGTGATTGCCATCTACCTGCTTCTGGTTGTCAGGGGTCTTGGACGGGCTCTCGGTGGCGCTGTCTTCGGATTCCTCTGGCTCCTCAGGGACCGACGATAGCTCTCCCGCCACGATCTTGGGATAGAGTCTGATCACCGTCTCCGGTGGCGCAGAGATCTCGGTGAATATATCCATCGAGTCCGCGTATTTCCGGAGTCGAAACAGCCCTTCGGCTTTCTCGAGCTTGATCGCACGGAGTCGGCCCTGCTTATCCCTCAAGAGCGCATCCTCCAGCATACTTGTCAGACTCACGGCCTCATCCAGGTAGCCCTTCTCCACCAGCGAGTCAATCTGAGTATCATAGCTCAGCGCTTCCATGCGCCAGATCGTGCGCTCGCTCGCCACCAGGAACCCCTTGCCCGCATGGGCCAAGCTGATCGTCGGCTGAGGGATATGTAGGATGTTGGCGGATGGCAGTGGAACCGACTGGAGTAGCGACAGTGTCTCCGGGTTGCGCACCTCCAGCACGCCCTTGGACGCGTCATGCAGGGCCAGCAGAAACGGATACGAGTACCCGATATCAGCCGGCGCATGGCTCCAGGGGATCTGCCGCCTCCCCAGCGACGCGCCATTGATATCGATGAACTGGGTATTGATATCCTTCGCCAACAGCACCTGGCCCTCCGACAGCCTCGTCGCCAGCGGCTTCGGGGCCGACCCGCCAATGCCGATATAGCTCATACTGGCGACCCCGACCCCCGTCAGCCGGCCGGTTTCCTGCCCACCCAGCCCGCCGATACTCCCGGGGCCGACCAAGTCCGTCACGCTGGCCGTCTCGATATCGACCATCACAAAGCTCGACCCCAGCCCGGCGACCAACTTGGTCCCGGACACCCACGTCAGCGTCTTGATGCCACTGACCAGCGTCATCTCGGCCACCTCGCCCTCCACCTCCATATCCCGCCACACCCACAGCAAGACCTTGCGCTTGACCGCCACCGCCAGCCGGGACACGATCGACGGCACGCCGGTCTCGGGATCATTGACGATATTGGAGGTCACCGCAAACGTCGACGCCCCTTTCGTGCGCGTCAACTGCTCCTGCAGCGCATACGTCTGCAGATCATGGATGGAGACATAGCCGCCCGACAACGAGACCAGCAACTTGGCCTCCTTGATCAGGGCCAACTGCTCCACCTTGTACCGCGAGAACTTCTCAACCTCGCGCAGAAGATCCGTCTGTTTCAGTTTGACCGGCACATGTGGTGCTGTAGCTGTAGCTGTGGCTGTAGCTGTGGCTGTAGCTGTAGCCGCCTTCGCATGATCCGCAGCATTCGTAGCCCCCGGATTCGCGTTCTCCGCTCCCACACCACCCTCAGCATTACGAGCGGGTACCGCCGCCGCCGTCGTCTTCGTACCCACCCCCCCATTAACATTATTCCCCAGCGTCGCATCCTCATTACCCCCGTGTGTATCATTCCGATGCCCATTCAGCCCCCCACCACCATCATCATCAGCATCCCCAGACTCCTTCTCCACCTCGTTCACCCGGTAGATCCGTAGACTCCCATTGTTCAATCCCACGAGCACGCGGTCCCCGTACGCGAGAACGGATTCGATGCGCGATCGATCGCGCGGTTTGAACTCGACGAGCGGCCGAGCGGTGAAGGCGGATAACATGGTGTGTCCCCCTGGTAGGTCCTTCCGGACCCCCTTCGGAAAAAAAAAAGCCCAAGGGGTCGTCGGGTTCGGGGTTGGTTAGTGAAGGGATGGAGGTGAGGTCTGATTCTTCAGAAAAACAAAAAAGAAGGAAAATGTTACAGGAGCTGTGGGCGGGTCGCTTTGTTAAATCGTGGCTTTTGCTCGCCCTCGGGGGTTTTGCGGTGTGAGCGTCGAGTCGTCAGGGTTGACGGTGGTTCCCGCAGTGTAAGGGTAAGGTATGTGTTGCACTGCGCGAAATAGGCTCGAGTTTGCGTGGCCCTGTCTATACTTATTTGTCTATCTTTGCTTCGAGCGGGGGAGGAGGTAGAGGCATATCCGGTGCTCTCTCTGTGGAGGTTGAGGGCTGGAAGAGGGAGGGGAGTGAAGTGGAATCAACGGGCCGAGGTGATCACAGCCATGATATGTTGAGGTGGTTGTTAGTCGAAGGGATGCTGGGTGTGGCAGAAGACCAGATAGAAAGTCGCTTCTGTTGCTGGAGACAGTTATCAATGAGCCGTGTTATTATAGAGAAAGGTATGGTATATCAATCGTATTGTGTAGGTAGAAACAGAGGAACAGAGAAACAGAGAGAGGTTCGGTTCTATAACTAAAGTGAAGCTGCCCGGCCGCAATCCGGACCTGCCAAGCCCACTACGGCGAGCTACAGCTGCCATTGGATGAAAGCACGACAGCCATCATATCATGCAAGTCTTGTACACTGCACATATCACGATGCAATTGGAGCTATGCAAATCCAGACACTGTTCAGCCCCTAGACCCATGCCGTATGTTCGACAGGAGGTCTTCCTTAAACAATACGATCAGACGACTCGCCGGGAAATGGGTGTCAATGTCGGTCCTAAGGTATATCTATCTATCTATCTATCCATCTAACTTATCGGTTCCGTCATCGATAGATAAAAAAAGGTAGCCTGAGGCTTTATCTCCCGCTCACCGCTCGCCATCATCTCCTCCGGCCGGGCTTAAGCTTGTCCGCCATTGGCGCATGCTGGCGAGAAACCCACCACCAACAGGTCAGCTCAGTAGACCCACCAGACAAGAGAAGAAAAGGGCCAACCAAAAAGAAACAGCAAAAGAATGTTGGGACGAGCCGGGCTTGAACCGGCCACCTTCAGATTAATGGCCGAAGTTGGTACTTCAGTCTGACGCGCTCCCAGATGCGCCATCGTCCCATTATTGGTTGAAAGATGCTCTTCCTTCTTGATGATCATATACTACTATGAGAAACTTGGACCAAATATTCTCTAACACTACCAGTCGAATCCCAGATGCGCCACTGCCCCAATTAGTGGAAATGTTGTCCTTTGGGTGCATATATGATTGATGTCTTCTTGCGAGCCTGTGGTGAAACAGAAACAAGGAGAAGTCAGGCTTACGAGCAAGAGATACGTGCAAGAGCTAGGAAAAGATTGACTTTATTACTTCTCTGCGTATAGGCACTCACAACCAAGCTACCTAATAGCGCCATAGCCTTGGTGTATCGCCCCCCACAGAGGAACGTTGTCGGCAATAAAAGTCCACAAAGGGTTGCAACCAATATGAAGAAGAGGTGCAGACCCAACCCCCCTCAATTGACTAGTAACCAGCGCCCCAAATCTTTCTGAACACGGATGGAACAGTGACAAGAGAGGAAGAAAAGAGCATTATGTATCTGTACAATAAGAATGTTTTGGTAAAGACCGGCAGAAATCGATCAACCCAGGTTATGCCCAACCAGCATGCATGTTTTCAATAAGCGCCCGATATGTGCAGATGAAGAGTAAAAAATCTCGTCTCGTTAATTCTATTTTGTGCCTTGTAAATGCTCATGCCTTGGTCTCCGTGGAGTATTCCTGGTGCTTCGCCGAAGTGCCCTTAGCACGCCAGGTCGACACGGCAGGAATATCAGCCTTGAACCGTTGTTCCTCCGTACCATATGCACGCGGGGTAAGTTTGATCAGTGTATGGAGGGGCACTTCCATCCAGGGACTCTGCTCCTGGGGTGTGTTGAGGAAGTAGGCGTAAATACAGCGCAACACAGCCTGGTGGGTCACAATGATCACGTTCTCACTGCGCTCCAGCTCCATAATAATCGGCTCCAAGCGAATGACAACATCGCGATACGATTCGCCACCCCGGTAGCGGTAGTTGTACTTGTCCTCGTCGCGGGCAGCAAAATCCTCAGGGTACTTCTCGGCAATTTGCTCGTAGGTCAATCCGTCACAGACTCCCGAGTCGAGCTCATCCAGAGCCTTCCACTCCAGTTTCTCGAAACCAGTTTCCGCAGCTAAGTGACGCGCCGTTTGGATGGTGCGTTTTAACGTGGAGGTCCAGATCACAATCTTCGTGTTGGGCGGTACACCGGACTTCTTCAGTAAGCCAGGGAGAGCCTTGGCATAAGCCTCTCCACGTTCAGAGATGTTGGAGTCACCTCCAATCTTGCCAGTTAGGTTGTACTCCGACTCTCCGTGCTAGAGGGCAATTAGTAAACGTGTGTAGACGCATGATTACTCAAACTTACGCGAGATAACCAGATCGAGCGAGGCTTGATGTGGAGGTTCTGGATGTAGTAGACCAGTCGACTGGACAAATAGTCCTTGATCTGGTTGATGATGACGGTGGAGCCAACGTTGATGAGTTTGACGTAGGTGTAGCTCTTCTCGCCGTCATCAATGGTCTCGTAGACTTTCTCGTAGTTGCGGATGCGCTCGCGGAAATCCCGGGCAGCGACTTCCGGGTCCTGCCCCTTGTAGTCCGGCGAGGTCGTCTTGACCTCGAGAATGTTGTTCATAATCAAGTCCTCTTCGTCGCATATCGACTCGACGTACAACGTCTCGATGTTAGCTTCTTGGCAGCGCTCGTTGATCCAGCGGCGGCGCTCTTTCGTCGAATTCGTCGCATCGAGGATCGCGACCACTCCCTTGCCAGCATCGAACCACTGGATCATGTCTGTGATTGCAGCGTCGGCCGCGGCACGGCGCATCTTCTCGCCCTCCTCGTTGTGGGGGTCAAAGAACGTGGCGCTTGGCTGCGGTGTGCCCTGTCGGCGATAGGTGCCGACGTTGAACACGCGTGCAGGAATACCAACCCAGGCGAGATATCTCATAGCTGGTCATAAAGTCAGTTGGTTGCCACACCGGCCATGGGAACTTGATTGATCGACGCACCTTTGCCAGCTATAAGACTCTTGCCTCTGGCTGGGAGGCCAACCATGACCACACAGATTTTCGACTCATCGGACTATCGATTGGCAAATAAGCATCCGAGGCAAGACAAAGAAAATCGCAAACGACGCCATGTTTAAGAATTGTGTGGCAGAAAATGGCAATGTGGTGGGTGGCGAGCTGCGCCAACCCGCTGGACCTCGCAGCATTATGCCCCAGCGGGCACTTTAAGGGGATAAGTCCGTAATGAGACAAAGGCAAAGGCAGCATGACACTGGCCTTGTGTCACATACCACAACCCAGATACATTGCGATGTCGTTTGCAAGCTTTCAAAAAAAAAAAGCAGAATAAGATATATTAAACGGTTGCGCCAATCAAGGCACGTGCAATGGAAACACCCGACAAACAAAAAGCATGGCAACTTACGCTGGCGAAGTAGTGAGTCTTGCCGTGGCCATTGTCTCGACGAATTAAACCCGACGACATGATTCCAATTGACTATCGAATCTGAAGTATTGTGCAAGCAAACGGAGAGAGGAACAGTATTCAGAACCTCGGCCACCAGGATGTCCGATCGCCGACAAAAAGGAGCAGGAGGACTAAGGGCGTGAGAGAAAAGAAACCGCTCGTGTGTGAGTGTGAGTGTGTGTAACTCTGTAGTACTCCGTATATAGAAACCTTTTTTTTTCTTGGCTTGACTGTAGATGTGCTGTTGGAAGTTGTCGCTAACCACTAAGAAGCAGACAGGTCCGGCTGTCTCACGAGGGGGGTCTTTCGCAGGGAAGAGGATAGTAGTAGTGGTGAGTACGGAGTAGAAGCAGGAGTAGTAAATTGATCAACAGATGACTCTGGTTGGATGGGCATTGAAACCCAACGGGGGGGCGGTCGATGCGGTGAAGGGAGTTGAAAGAGAAGACAGTCAGTCGCAAAGTGTGAGGAAGAGCACAGACGTCATGCCGCGGGGCAGTTGCCGGCGACGCTGGGTTGGTTATTAGTGATTGTCTAGGCAATGATGATTCAATAGTAGGTCAGTAGTTGTAAGAATAGGAGGTAGACCCTGTTCTGGGTTTCTTCCACGCAAAATGAGTAACTCTTTGGTGCAGCGGTGCGCTTGAAGCCGCTGAGCCCTCTGGATCGTCTAGTAAGCAAAAATATATATAATGATCAGAAATAAAAGTAATCACGACCGGCGCACTTGACTTTTGACCAGACTAAGTTACGATAAGTGATTTCCGTCTCCCTCCCCGGCCGGTCCCCTTTTCCCCGGTCGGATTGTCGGATTGTCCAGTCGTCCCGCACGTGACCCCCCATTGCGTTTTCGTCTCGGGTAAAATCGTAACCGTCTGTCGCAAAATGGACTTCGGGCTCCAGAGGCTAGAATGGAGAATTACCCGACTAGGACAAAAGTGACTCACGGTCGCCTGACTTGCGCGGTTTTTCTTCGCAAATTTCGAGGTGTTGAGGCGAAGATGTTGCAGCCGGAGGTCTGGCCATCATGTCTCATGCCTTTTTCTGCCGATCGGGATTCTGTCCCTTGCATTGCCTGCTGGTGGGACTGGGGATGACAGCGCCAATTGTCTGTCTGTCTGTCCATCGGTCCCCCTGCCTATCGTCCCATTCCTACAGTATGAATCCCCACGCGTCCGACAATCAATCTACTCGTACATGTTGGTCCATACCATCATTTAGGCTTCGGGAAGAACGAGGATCATGAATTTATCCGCCAGTCGAATCACTAGTAGCTAAAGAGCAAATACAAGAAGACGAGAACCTGGTCGGTAATATTCCTTCGATTAAGCTAATCTCAGCCCTAAAAATAACTCCGTTTTGGTCGACTCTATCGTCATTAAATCTGGGAAACCTTCCCGTTTTTAGAATTTTGGTGCCTTTTCTGTGCCTCGGATCTGCACCAGGATTGGGGAGCCTCAAAAGACGGAAGCCAATCCCCCAACAGAGATGCTCCCAAGGGAGCGATGACGTCGCGGGAGGGAAAGCGCGGCTTTCTCCCAGCGACGGGGGCTGTGGTTTTCTTCTTTTCAATCGGCTGCTCCCGAGCCATGGGTTGAGGATCAGACGTAGTAGAACGAGGCAGAGAATGGAGGTCATGAATCTCTTGCGGGAGAGTGTCGGGGTGAGAACAATTCACCCCCTCCCTTTTTATGTTTCGTCGTAACAAACGTCAAGCATGTACTTTTGGCTTTGAGAGGGTATGCAGGAACTTTTTTTTCGTGTCGTGAGAAGGGTTGACCGGATCAGCCGTATAGCTTTCCCAGCTATACGCCGACCGCAACCTCAGCAACAGCATTGGCGTCGCCAAGAGCAGGGGCTGCTGCATCATCCCGGCTAGACGGCCACTTGGGACGTCTCTCCTGGGTGGTGGTCTCTCCGCGAGCTCTCTGGACCCGCAGCATGGAGCCCCAGGGACCCTCCTGGCGGTGCAGAGCGCCCATGGCGTTCTCGGCCTCCTCGACGCTGTCGAAATCGACAAAGAGGTAGTAGTGGTCACCGGGCTCGAACCGCTTGGCGGGGTGAGGGGCGAACTGCTTGCTGACGTTCTCACTATCAGGCGAAGGTTAGCTTTGTATGGCATCAAATGCTGTAGGGCTAGCCTTACACATTGTATCCCTTGAAGAAGTTGCGGATGTTGATGTTGAGAGCGTCCTGATCGGTCAACTTGGGGAGACCGCCAACGTAGAGACGGCGGCTGGCATCGTTGTTGACGGCTCTGGCGGGGGAAGAGGGAGTTTCATCGTTGCCACGGCGCCACCGGTCAGCGCTGAAAGGCGAGCTTCTCACCTCACGGGGAGAGCCATCCACGCGTGGTTGCTGTTGCTGCTGCTGTTGTTGCTGCTGCTGCTGGGACCGCTCACTGGCGGACTTCACAACACCCGGCTTGATCTTGACTGGACGGCCAAGCATGTCCCGGCCATCCAACTCAACCATGGCCCGCTCTGCCAGCTCCTTCGTCTCGAGGTCAACAAAGCAGTATGAGGGGTTGCGGCCCGTGAAGGGGTCAATGGCGATATCGATCCGCTCGCTAGGAAGCACTCAGTTTGGGGGCTCATCAACAGACAAAAGTCGTTTCGCATACATTTGGAACTCGGCAGCGGTAAAGAGTGCTTGCACATCCTCCGACTTGGCCGTGTAGGGCATGTTACCCACGTAAAGACGGCGGCCCTCAGAGATAGCCTGCGGCACGTGTGCGCTGGGTCTGCTGAAAGCAAGTCTCGAGGTGCTGGTCTTCGGGCCCGGGGAGCCGGCGCTCTGCGCACTCGGGCTCTCTTCGCCCTTCAAGCGCCAGTTGGGGGAGTGGAAAGCACGGCCGGTGGTTCTGACGCCATTCTGGTAGAAGTTCTTCTGGGGGGCTAGGCACTGGTTAGTGACGAGTGCGTCAAGAAGTTGTGCTGATCGCAGCCCCTCGAGGAGCCCGAATGCAATTGGCCTACACACTTTGTTGCTGGGGGACGGGGCTTTCAGGAGCGTCGGCCATTGTGACAGAAGTTTTCGGAGACTCGAACAAAGTCAGGATCGGTAGTGACAGGGTATAAGAGTGGGTAGCCTATGCGATGAACGACAGATTAGCATGGTAAAGTCGCAGGGCTGCCGTAAATACACGGATTTCCTAAATTGACAAGAGATGAACAGAGCAGAGTGGAAGAAAACCATACCTTTGTTTCCGGCTAATACTCCACGCAGTTAAAATGAATGTCGGATAGAAAGACGAGACACTTGATATCCCCGATCTTCTTAGACAGATCAAAATCTCCGAGAAACAAAAGGCAAGCGACGGAAAAACAACACAGAAACGCTCTGCTGTTGAAGCCTGCGTCAAAAAATTAATCTGGGGCGAGGCCAAACCGGAAGCAAACATCGCAAACACCGCAAAACCACCGCGGCCCGAGAGGTTCCACCGCCGGCTGTGATTGGCTGGTTAGCGAACCAAGCGCCTATATAAAGACACGGCGGGCCTCAAATTTTCATTCTAATTTTCTGTTTCTCTCACATCTGTTGTCCACCTCGCGTTGCTCAACAAGATATGGCTTTATTTGCGGCTGGCTTCGAATGCTCGTTTTGAAGATCCAGCTGGCTCTACGACTTGCGAACAGCTCAGCTATGAGAATAATGTGTTGCTCCGGCTCAGCAAAGATCGCATTGATTTGGTCCATCCCAGATCTCCCTAGCATCTTTTACCCTTGCATATGTCACCACTCCTACGTGTTCACTTCAATGATGAAGCAAGATTCACACAGACCTGTTCCGAGTTATTATACATGCGGATCAACAATCGTACCAACTGCTGTCTGACAAAGTGAACACGCCCCCTACCCTTTCCCGTTTCTTGCCTCCGTTCCTCGATATTAGAGAAAAATGAAAATCGCCCACTTGGTGCACTTTAGATCAATCTTTTCTTGGCCCTCAGTAGAGACTGAAAGTATCAAGTAGGATTAGCTAGAGGGCTCCCTGTCCTGTACACAAGACCCTGCTACTCCTGCCACTACGTATCAAAGACGCGGTAATTGAATTGCACGACAGCTGGTGTCAAGCATGATCGTACCCCGTATCGGTCACAGCGTCGTCATCCTCTCTCTCGTACAAGATCTGAGGACGAACGTTCTGGCGGAGGATGTATCTCCTGATGAAGTAGGGGATTTGACGTAGGCCATACTTGGCGTGGAAGCGTGTGGGAACCCCAAACACTTGATCCAATTCTTCGAGCGTCTTTCCTTTGGTTTCGGGCATGAACAGAAGTATCAGAAACCATCCGACTATACACCAACCGCCGTACCAGCTGAACGCTCCTTGCGGCGTGAATGCATGTCGAAGGGAAGGCCAAGTGATGGCAAGCGTGAAGTTGAACAACCACGTTGTCGAGGTAGCTAACGCCATGCCGTAGGACCGCACGTAGAGTGGATAGGCTTCGGCCGAGTATGTGAACGGCACTGGTCCCTCGCCAAACGAATATACAACACCGAAGAGGTAAGTGCCTAAGGCGACACACCCCATGCGGGCAGAAGTCTCTTCGGGTATCCAGAAGCTGAAGCCGGTGAAGAACATCGACAGAGACATCATGGGAAAGGTGAGTAGGAGAAGATTGCGACGGCCAAACGTGTCGATTTTCCATATGGCGGGTAGGGCAAAGAGAAAATTGATCATTCCCCACCCGAAGGACGCTGCTAGTGCTTTGAGCTGATTCTCGACTGTCAGCATGTTTGCCGGTCCTGTGGACTGCAGGAAAATCTCAGATGAGTAGTATGCGATAACGTTCACGCCTAAAGGTTCATCAGTCTTCTGATTTCCAGCTCAGATTGGTCGCACAAACCGCAGAACTATGAGACATTAGCAGCTGAATCTTTTATAGTGACTATTTTGTTTGATCATACCTGTTGCATGAACATCACCAGTTCTGACGCAATCATTGCACGTCGGTTACGAGGAACACGGATGAGCTCCAGGATCTTGTTCTGGCCAAGCTTTATGCTGGCCTCGGCTTTCAGCAATGTATGCATATAGTACAAGTCACGCGCTGCTTGGACCTTGTTGTAACGCAAGCTGCACATCGACTCATACGCTTTATCGTACCGATTCCGCGACAAGTACCAACGAGGGGATTCTGGACAAGTGAAGATAAAGCAGCAAACCAGAAGAGCCGGGAACATGGCTGAAGCCATCATTATACGCCAATTGAGGCCGACGATCCCCGAAGAATCAGAGACCTTGAAGAACGCAAGGTCTGCGGCGTAGCCGACCATGATTCCGAATGCTGTCCACATCTGCCATTGCATTACCAAACCGCCACGGATATTAGGAGGTGCCGTCTCCGCGGCGTAGATCGGCACCGTTGCCGACTTGGGGCCTATCCCGAAGCCCAACGCAAAGCGAGCGATGAACATATGCCACCATGTGTTGACAAATCCTTGCCAGAGGCACGTAAGCGCAGAGAAGCAGCAGGTGACGAAGATGGTCCCTCGACGGCCAAACCATGCATTGAATGGCACCGTCAGCCAGCAGCCGATGATGGCACAACACAGATATGGCGCTGAGTTGACCAGTCCAACCAGCCAATTGGAGCGGGAGTCGGTGCCATCGATGCCGAATTGATGCTTGTAGAAGATCTGGGCGCCATTGACCACCGTCTCATCTGCAGGAGTCAAGGAGTTTCAGCCAACTTTCACCGGGAACCCTTGGACGATCAACGGGAATAGAACTTACCCATCCCTTGTACCGCAGCAGAGAGTGAACACACAATAATGACCAGGTACATTGTCCATGGCTGACGCCAACGGTGGGCGAATTCTTTATCCAAGACTTCCAGCTCCTGGGGCGTCAGACCAGGAACCTCGGCGTACTTCTCGGGCCTTTGAGCTAGTATGGCGCCCATGGCAAAAGCACGAATGTCTTCTTCATAGCCCAGATGATGCTCGATGGCGAAATTTATTCCTCGCCTGCGCAACTCTTCTTGAGTTTGACCAGCAAGAGGATTGGCCAGCTTTGCATTGATGTTACGCCGAGCACGCTCCGCAACGGTGCCGAGCGAGCGTTGGAGAGTAGTGTTGCCATCAGTCTCCTGACGGTTGAGAGCAGATGTCCCAACGACAGGAGGCTCTTCTTTACCGAAATAACCCTTCATCTGCGCGTGTTGATGTCTCGTCTGCGCTAGTGGTGGTGGTGCTTGGACAAGGAGTTAATGCAGGAATGCGAGACGACTAGGAAGAGATTTATGTTAGTAGAACTGTCAACACATCAAGTCTAATGGCTGAGAGTGAATGACGATCGATCCTTGGTAAGTGCACTCCTACCGGACCAGACTGCCCATCCCACACCATGTGTCCGACAACAAAGAGAAGTAGCCGTGATAAAGAAGTTGAAGTCGAGACGTATGGATGGGAGATCATCTGGCTGAGAGACGAACCGGTTTTGGCAGAAGGAGGTCTGCACATACAAAGAATCCTCTCTTACCCCCTGGACCATTACCAAAGATTCGGATGGGATGAGGAGTGAAGTGGGCAGGTGAAGAGAGACTCAACTCACTCTGGATGGTTGACCAGCAGAAGAACCGCACGACTGATCTTACCAGTCGACATTCCGCGGGGACTGCGCCAGCCCTTCGAACGAGGCTGAGACCGGGCGTTGAGCGCAGCTGATCGTGTCGCTCTTCTGCTTCCTCACGGACTACTTTCCAAGTATTGAGGTCGAAGTGGTCGCTGGGGTGATTGACGGGATGCGGACAAAGAGGCAGCGAGGTGGAAGTGAGGCTCGTATCCTACCCAATGACCATCACGCAGTATTCTCACTCAGAAGCCCAAGACCTGGTCTTCGTGGTTGAACCAGATGAATATTAGATGGTCTGTATCTCAGCATATGCCGATGAATGAAAACTGCCCTGACATTCTTCTTCCTCTGCGGTCTTCTCGAAGTGTCTGAAGCGTGTACAACGTTGCACGATCCTACATCTTCAGCCATTTGATGAACAGCACATGAATACCATAGTGCCTTGTTCCGGAGTCAGCCGACAGTAAATACGAGAGTTCATCATTTTCTCGACAATGTGCTGATCTGCACGACTGTTGACAACGTGTCAGACCCCGGATTTCCGTCGCTTACGCTTATGCTTGGCTTACTTATGAGTATGTTTGGAGTCTATTGTTTGCCGGGATGCGGGGCTGCCCGCCCCGTCGGATGCGGATTGACAGGAGTGGAGTAGACTACCTAGTAGTAGGTATACAAGCAACCTCAATGACAAAACTATCCTGATCCGACTTATCCGAACGATCGGAAAGGTTCCTGCATGATGTTCAGCCCGTTTACCTGGCCTTCCATCCGATTTCTCAAGGGGGGGCCTCCCAAGAAACAAGGTAGCTGTGGGGAATTGACGGCGTTGTTGAGTCGGCAAGGGGACAATGAGGGGAAGGAACCTAGCCGCTTCCGACCCGCCTCTATCATGCAGTCAAGAGACTCTTTCCCCGCCGCATCGCCGAACTATAACTATAACCCGTTGACCACCATGACGTTGTGTCTGATCTGGTTCCTAGAACAACGCTTCAACCAGACTTCGATCGACTGAACGCTGAACACAACACAAGCCATGCTCGGAAAAATCGCCCTCGAGGAAGCCTTTGCGCTCCCACGCTTCGAAGAGAAGACCCGCTGGTGGGCCAGTCTGTTCTCCACCGACCCCGAAACCCATGTCAAGGAGATCACCGACATCAACAAGATCCGCATTGAGCATGCGGACAAGCACGGCGTGGGATATCAGATCCTCTCTTACACGGCTCCAGGTGTCCAAGACATTTGGGATGCTGCCGAGGCGCAAGCTCTCGCCGTCGAAATCAACGACTACATCGCCGAGCAGATCCGTGACCGCCCTGATCGATTCGGTGCATTCGCGTAAGAACCTCCTGCACTACCTCAGATCTCATCCAGACTAACGCATCATCCAGAACTCTCTCCATGCATGACCCCCAAGAAGCCGCCACCGAGCTCCGCCGCTGCGTCGAGAAGTACGGCTTCAAGGGTGCCCTGGTGAACGACACCCAACGCGCCGGTCCGGATGGCGACGACATGATCTTCTACGACCAGCCCAGCTGGGACATCTTCTGGCAGACATGCACGGAGCTCGACGTGCCTCTGTACCTGCACCCGCGCAACCCCACGGGGACCATCTACGAGAAACTCTGGGCAGACCGCAAGTGGCTCGTCGGGCCTCCGCTCAGCTTTGCGCACGGCGTCAGCCTCCACGTTCTGGGGATGGTTACCAACGGAGTCTTCGACCGGCACCCGGCATTGCAGATTATCATGGGGCATCTGGGCGAACACGTTCCCTTCGACATGTGGCGCATCAACCACTGGTTTGAGGACCGGAAGAAGCTGCTGGGGCTGGCGGAGACGTGCAAGAAGACCATCCGCGAGTACTTTGCGCAGAACATCTGGATCACCACCTCGGGCCACTTCTCGACCACGACGTTGAACTTTTGTATGGCGGAGGTGGGCTCGGATCGCATTTTGTTCTCGATCGATTATCCGTTCGAGACGTTCGAGGATGCGTGCGTGTGGTTTGATAATGCAGAGTTGAATCTGGTGGACCGGGCGAAGATCGGACGGGAGAATGCGAAGAAGCTGTTCAAGCTGGGGGCTTATAAGGATTCGTCGGCGTGATGTATTGTATTCATTTCAGACTTAACTTCTTTTCCTGCTCTACCCTTAGATGAACGTAGGTCATGGTCAACAGTGTTCTTTACTTCTTGTGGCAGACTATCCTACCTCTGGCTGTGGTAGACTGTGTGCTTTCTGGTGTCTTTCTAGTAGCTTGATATTCTTTCTTACATCTTACCTATTTTATCCCTGAGATCGATGACGTTCTGGAAGATGTAGTCTCAACTTTTCCCTAACTCAGACGAAAGGTCGCTTCTCTACGGCCTTGTAGGTTTGCTTTCATTCATGAATAGGTCAACTACTCCATATGCTCTGTGAGAACTTGCGAGTGGGAGTGGTCAGGCTAGTGAATGGCTTGCACCCTCCAGGGTTGAACCAGTTGACAGGGCGATAGTGTGTGTTTCAGCACTGTGTATACAAACACCCTTGTGTGTTAATATTGCTGTTTGTGCCAGACCCAACCTTCACTTCCACTGTGAATACCACGATACTCTGTGACTCTTCCGCCTCGCTCCTTCAACCTGAATACTGCCCTTCCTTCACTTGAAGAGAAGAGAACTGAAGCGAGCTCTCGTCCCTATATCTTGTCCCAATACCTCGTCCCTCCAGTCCTTCTTCCTCCACTACACTACCATCACCCTTCTCAGCAGAACAAGTCCAACTTCCACCTCAACCTGACCAACCATCACCGCGAGCCAGGAAGATGGACCTCAGCACCCCAGCCCAGCTCTCCCACAACCTCTCTGCCTTCTCCCCGATCATCCCAGGCATAAACATCGAACGAGACGAGCAACCCAGCACCAACGAGCCATTCCCCGACTACTTCACCTCGTGCGAACAAACCGACTCGCGAGCCGACACAGCCCAGGAGGAAGCCTACAAGTACGCCCTGTCGAAAGTGGTCGAGGCCGGGGCGCAGGCCCAGCGACTGGACGCGATGCTCACGTCCATGACGCTGTTCACCCCGGAATGGACATTCCCAGACCCGACCACAGCCTTCAGCAACACACGCCCAAGGAGCAGCACCAGCAACACACCCTCTACCAACAGCACAAGCAGCAGCAACAGACTCACCCCACCCCCCACCCCCATCAGCGGGCCCCCAACCCCCCGACTATCAACCTACCCAACCTGGCCCCTCCACCCCGACCTGGAGAACACCACCACAAACAAGCAAAACATCCTCGAAGAGATGCGCATCCTAACCAACAGCCCGACGCTCAGCCTGCCCCTCCGCAACCGCTTCATCACCATGTGCAACACGATCCTCAGCGCGCACACGCTGCTCTTCCGGCGCGTGCCCATCCCCGGCCGCCACCACCCGCTGGACTCCCTGACGCAGCCGCAGGTGCACCGCGCCCTCCACCTGGCCCACACGCTGGTCACCGACCTCGCCGCCCTGCACCACCTGCTGCACGGGCAGTACGAGCACTGCCGCGGCGCGCAGCAGACGATCGCGCACATCGCCGCCGACACGACCAACAAGAACCCGTTCACGCGGTTCCGGGAGATGGCGGGTATTGTTATCAAGTACGCTTGCCCTTGCCCATACCTTGCCCATACCTTACCCTTACCCTTACCCTTCCCCCTGGCCCAAAACCACATCCCAGCCCAAGCAACCCCCTACCCCTCTGTCCATCCAAAAAGGAACAAAGCTAACAGCAGTCAAAGCACCCTCCCCACCCCACACCCCACCGAACAACGCCTCCTCCTCATCCTCCTCGACCTCTACGACGCCTACCTCTACACAGACTACCACCGCCTCCGCCAGTGGCCGCAGATGCTGGCCGAGGGCCGCGACCCGGGCCGCCTGCGCCTGACCAACGCCTTCTTCCGCGCCTGGGATCTGCTGACCCGCGCCCTCGAGTGCTACCAGGCCATCGCCGCCGTCCACGCCGACCTGATCAGAGAGTTCCTGCGGCCCGCGGGCGCGCTGCTGGGGCGCGACGTCGGCGGCCGCGTGCTCGTCGATCTGCGGGTGCGGGCCGCCGTGGCGCGGTGTCGCGGGCGGGCTTATCCGGGGGGGTGGTGGGGGGGTGAGGAAGGACTCGATGATGAGGGTCACGATGAGGGGGTGGAAGGGCAGGATGATTGTTGGAATCGGGCGGGTGGGCGCTGCGTGTTGCAGGATTTCTTTCAGTGGGATCCGGCGGTGGTGGGGGAGGGGGAGAGGGGTAGGGGTTATTATGGAGATGGGGAGGGAGGGGAGGAGGATAAGGGTTGGGGATGGGGGGAGAGGGGGTAGTTCTTGAGTTTTGGGGCACGGGTTGTGCACGGAGTGGTCGTTCTGGGGGTTGGGGGGGGGGGATCTGGAGAGGGGGTTCTAGGGCTTTTTCCAGCTTGAGGTGTTAGTGATTCGGGATATTTCGGGATGATTGCGACATGTGGTTCATACTTGAGGATACTGAAGCGATGCTTCGAAAGATTAATAATATCATCTCTGCGATAAATCCTCTGAATTGACTGCTGATTCTCCCAGTTTCTGATTTGACGATGCTATGTTTCAATGCCGGACAACAAAGTACAGCAAATAGGCAAGTCAAAAGCGTAGGAGTAGCACATACTGGCCTTCTCTTGGTGAGCGTGCTCCATGAACATATAACCAGAAATAGAACGAGGCCCTGCGGCTGCCATATAGCAGGTACTAGCCCTAAAGGGTAGCTTATGGGACGAACCTTTCACCTTATACTAGAAATTGACAGTCATACTAGAATATCAACCTAAAGCGACCTAAAGCCACCAAAGGTACAAACTGAAAGTCCTACAAACTACATAAAGCGCCAACTTGCAAGTATATTAAATTGATAAGATTACCAATACGACTAAGCATGTACAGCACCCCGATCGAAAACGCCGTTGAGAACCGTAGCGCCTATGTGGATCGAGAGAAGTGCAGGTTGACCCTCCCTCCGGGCAAGTATGACATAAACGAGTGAGACGGGAAGGCAGTAGAACAAAACGTTCCGGCGCCAACCCAAGTCCACTCATCAAAACGAGCCTCGGAAGTTAACGAGGGTCGGTGGCATTCTGCGCACATCGACTAATTGACACCTCATAGAAGAAAAGGAGAGTGGCAACTTAAGTAGTGCGGGGAGGACGGATTCCGAATCACGAGGTTGGTTTACGATGGCTCCTGACAGAATCATGACAGATGGTGCGAGGCCCTGGCCCGGCGCCAATCGTCCTTCTTACTCTGATCCGTCGCCAGAGGCTCGGCTTCCTCCTCGTCGTCCGGTAACGGGACATCCATCACACGCGCGCCAGCTGTCTCCAGGACTTTGCGACTCCAGGTCCGCACGCCTTTATAGACAGCCTAAAACGAATCAGTCGCTGGGGTCAGCAGACACAGCTCGGGAGAGAAGCCACTCACCCACAAGAAAGTACCCACGCCGACGACAACGAGCAGCCAGCCGACTCGGTTCCTCCCGGTATTCCGGCCGGAGCTGCTGCCGTTGATCAAACGCGTGGAACGCAGCGTCAGCCCGGGCCAGGAAGAGAACGCCAGCACGGACTTGATGCAGGACAGCAAGCCCAGAGTGACCACTCCCTTGAGATAGTGCTCGGGCCAGGAGCCCTTGTGGTCACCCGTCAGGATCCTGGTCTCCGGCGGCACGGGCCAGATATCCCGCATCTCGGTGGGCGCGAGGGGATCATCCGTGTCCGGGAGGATGTTGAAGAGGGGGTCAGCAACGAAACCAAGCAGAAATACAGTAAACAACAGAATGGCGAGAGTCAACGCGAGCTGCATCACGGTGCTACTAATCCAGCGCGCCAAGCGGAGACGTTCTAGTCGGTAATGGAACCCGCAGGTCGGGCAGTGCCAATAATTGCGACTGCTGTAGGCTGCGTCCGAGTGCCGCCACAGTTCCAGGCATCCTTCGTGCACATAACGGGAGGATCCTTTGCAATTGCAGGGACGAAGCAATCGACCGGACTCCGGGTCCGACGATTCGTAGACAGGCCGTGGTTGGGGCTGCAGAAACCCCGGGATATGCTCCGAGGGAGGAGGGAAGGTGGGATAGACCGTTTCCAGGCAGATGCGACAAGTCCGGGGCGAGTAGTGCCGCGGTCTAGTCTCCTCTGTGGTACTGCCCGAGTCCTCCTGTGGAGGGGCGTCTGTAGGGGGTTCCTGCTCGAGGTGATCCGACTGAGGCGGCCCAGCCGGTTCAGCAGGCCACTGCCAGAGCGGCTCATTGCGCAGATCCATTCTTTGTAGGTTGTTGCTGTTGCATAGTCTGAGAATTAACAGATCTACCAGCGATCTGACGCTTGTGATGCGATTGGTGTCGCAGTTATGATTGTTGCATGAAAAAGGTTAGAAGGTTGAAAAGAAACGAAGAGGAGAAATGTTTCCCGAGAAGGAAAAAAAGAGGCCAGTTTAAGAGAAGCGGGTGGGGAGGTCAAGCGCACTAGCCGCTCGCCTACCGTCACCGCCCCAGGCGCGGCTTGGCTTGGTTGGTTGCGTTGCTTGCTACTGCTGCGTCAACATCCTGCCGCCTGCTGTCCGAAGGGAAGCTTCACGTCAATCCAGTCCCCTCCTCCACCACTTCCCAACTCCATCCCCCATCATCCCCATCATCCTCAATCACCTCCGTCTATCCCCCCAACCTCCCCACACATATACCTATTATCCTCCGGAGCTTCTGGAGGTGAAGCATCGTCTCCATGGCTGATCGTTACTCTTTCTCTCTGACCACTTTCTCCCCCAGGTAAGCCAAGCTCTCCGCTGCTTCATATGCTAGTACCACAGCTAACAGTCGGGGGTGTAGTGGAAAGCTGGTCCAAATCGGTAACCACCTTTCGCCAGCTACTGTCGTAACCGGGTCACTGACAATGTCTTAGAATATGCTCTGAACGCCGTCAACCAGGGTGTAACGGCCCTTGGCATCAAAGGTATGGTGGCCCCCGGATCCGCCGCCGCTGGCAAACAGCTACAGCTACAGCTACAGCTACTGACTTTGGGCGGATCGGACACAGCTACCAACGGAATCGTCCTCGCCACTGAGAAGAAGTCGTCGTCGCCTCTGATCGACCCCCCCTCGCTCTCCAAGATCTCCCTGATCACGCCCGACATCGGCATGGTCTACGCCGGCATGGGCCCGGACTACCGGGTGCTCGTCGACAAGGCCCGCAAGGTCTCGCACACCGGCTACAAGCGCATCTACAACGAATACCCGCCCACCCGTATATTAGTGCAGGACGTTGCCCGCGTCGTACAGGAGGCGACGCAGTCCGGGGGTGTCCGACCGTACGGCGTCAGCCTGCTGATCGCGGGCTGGGACGAGGGCATCGAGCCCGAGGCCGGCGACGCCCAGCGCGGCGACGAGGGGGAGGGCGAGCCCAAGAGGGCCACCGGCAAGACGGGCGGCATCCTGAAGGGCGGCCCGAGTCTGTACCAGGTCGACCCCAGCGGCAGTTACTACCCGTGGAAGGCCACGGCCATCGGCAAGCACGCCACCAGCGCCAAGACCTTCCTCGAGAAGCGCTACACCGAGGGCCTGGAGCTCGAGGATGCCATTCACATTGCCCTCCTGACTCTGAAGGAGACCATTGAGGGCGAGATGAACGGGGACACGATAGAGATTGGTAGGGTTTCTGCGCTGATAACATTTCTTGAGCAAGCTGACGTTCTACCTACCAGGTATTGTTGGACCTCCGGCCGATCACTTGCTGGGCTTTGAGGGCGTCGAGGGCGCCCGGGGACCCCGGTTCAGGAAGTTGACCAAAGAGGAGATCGAGGACTATCTGACCAACCTATAAACTGCTCCGCCTTGTTACACGTTATTGGCGGGACCTTATAGCATAATAGACATCTATCAAGTCTGCCAAGGTTTCCACAAGATGATCCTTCTTAAGAACAATGAACAAGGGTGACAGCCGGAAGACCCTGGGACAACGCAAGTGATGAAATGTATGGGGCGTGTGTCGACATCGCCAAGTAATGCCGCCATCTGGGAAAAAGAATACCTAGTACTAAACTAGCCAATGAACGTGATTTGTGTTGAATTTGGTCGCGGGCCTTTCAGTGCCTGGGTATCTAGTAGGGAGGAACCTTGCACCGTCCACGGTCTCTCTGGGGGATCTCGGCAAGATATGCTACCCTACCATTGACGCCAGGACGTGGACGAGCTCTTCCCCCTTGAGGTAAATGCCCGCAACGAGGAATAGATGTGATGTTCAAGTCTCCGCCCCACGGGTCACTGCAGCAGAACCGAACTCAACCACAGCCCTTCTTGTTGGAAGTTATCACCTGACAGACAAGCCAGTCTTGGAAGTTGACAAGATGATACCTAGTACTCCCAGTCTATAAGCCCCCGGGGAGGAGACATGACTTGCCCGTTGGCCCTGCCCCAAAACCTGAGCAATCCAATCACCCCCACAAACTATTTCAAGAATAAATGCTAGATCCTGGAACTAAAGCAGGAACAAGCCGACAGGGCAAGGTTGCTACCCTCCAAAAAAAAAAAAAAAAAAAAAAAAAAAAAAAGCCCGAGTGTTGTGTCTAGTGCCCCCCGACACGCGATGGAGCTGAGGGGTCCGATCCGGAGGGATACCCGGAAAAGGGAAGGAGGTTTGTAACTGTACTACCCCAACAGCGTGGGGTGTGCTGTACTGGAAGAAAGTCCATGTCTGTTTTGGGTTATTGCTGCTGCTGCTGCTGCTGTTGTTGTTGATGCAGTGGCTGAATGGGAAGTCCGAGATCCTGCTGTGGAAGGGTATGTATGGCTCGGCTCGGCTATTGTGGTTGATGCTGCGCAAAAAGGTGGGATTGTGGTGTACTGTACTTCAGCTGAGAAGCTCCAACTCCAGCTCCAGCAGTAGTAGTTCCCCCTGCCCCCTCTTCCTCTCAATGAGGGCCAGAGCATAAGAAAAAAGCGGTCTAAATAACGCCACATCCACGAGGGTGGGAAGTGTAAAAGGGTCCCAGATTCCCATGGTTGAGGGGATTAGAGTTGAGCAGATGACGACTCTTCTCGCAGTCGTACGCAATCCGGTTTTTGTGCATTTGCATTGCTCTCTCGGTTCGATTTTGAATCGTTGTTCGAAAGGTTGTGTCTTAACCCACTCGTTGATTGACTTTGTTGTTGTTGTGGGGGGAATGAATCCACAGGTGTTTTGGGTCTTGGGAGATCAACGGATTTAAGGTATGGCTCGTGCACTCACCCACCCACCTGGTCTATCTTATCTCTTGTGGGTTGTGATTCTGGGGCAGTAGGGCATGGACGTATGATGTTGCTGCTGCTGCTGCTGCTGCTGCTGCTGCTGATACTGCTGCTGCTGATACTGATCGTACAACCTGTCCCATCCAGGCTAGCCCGAAGACATGCGCGACTGGAGCATGGAAGAGCCGATGGACGGGATCGCGGGGGAGCTCTCGACGCAGCACGGGGGCCTGCGGTCGACGCTGCTGTTCTTCATGGCGGTGGCGTGGTACAACGTGATCGAGCTGGTGGTGCTGGTGCTGACGACGTTCCGGCGGTGGCGGGGGCTGTACTTCTGGAGCCTGCTGCTGTCGGGGACGCTGGGGGTGGCGCCGTACACGGTGGGCTTCCTGCTGAAGTTCTTCACGCAGACGCCGGCGCGGGCCACCGTCACCGTGCTGACGGTGGGGTGGTGGACGATGGTGACGGGCCAGTCGCTGGTGCTGTACTCGCGGCTGCACCTGGTGCTGCGCGACGAGCGCCTCCTGCGCCGCGTCCTCCTCATGATCCTCGCCAACGTGGTGGTCCTGCACGTCCCGACCACCGTGCTCACGTACGGCGCCAACCTGCGCCAGACCCCCGCCTGGCTGCGCGGCTACAACATCATCGAGAAGCTGCAGCTCACCGGCTTCACCGTCCAGGAGGTCGTCATCTCGCTGCTGTATATCTGGGAGACCGTCAAGCTGCTGCGCATGTGTGCCGCCCGCGAGAACCGCAAGATCATGCGCCAGCTCGTCGGCATCAATGTCGCCATGCTCGTCATGGATCTCGTGCTGCTCAGTCTCGAGTATGCGGATTATTACGCCGTGCAGATTAGCTTGAAGGGCGCCGTGTATAGTATCAAGTTGAAGCTGGAGTTTGCTGTGTTGGGGAGGCTGGTCGCGGTCGTGCATAATCGGTGTCCGCCGGCGCCGATTGATGGGGATTTGCAGCTGAGTCGCTATGCAGGCGGGGGAGGGCAGGGGGACGACGGGGACGATGGCCATGGTGGGTCGGGAGGCGCGATGGTCGCCGCGGCGGCGGCGACGGCGGCGGCCAGGAGTGTCGCCGTGCAGCGGGCGCCGTTGTGCGTGACTGGGGAGAGGACGCATCGTCATCTCGCGTTGAATGAGGTGAACGTCTCGATGAAGTGGAAGGATCGCACGGACTTGGAGAAGGGCGATTGCGAGTCGGAGGTCCACCGCGCTTGTTGGAGGTGAGGTAATGACTTGATATGATATGATCTGACGGTTATGAATTCACGTGTGCATGTGTCTCTGTGTGTGTATCTAATTTCCAGGTTCTAATTCCGCATCACGATGTCAGGATAGTGAGCGATTAATACAGGTCAGTCCAGTCACAGTCGGAAGACTTCTCGAAAAGAGCCCTGTACAAGGAGGTGAGGGTGGTTAATTCCCATCCAGCGACCCAGCATCCACCTCATCACCTCCGATCCACCCGAACTCTCCCTCGGAGTCCTCTTCATCCTGGCTGTCGGCGATCTCCTCCGCTTTGCGCTTCCGTTGGCTGGCCGAGGCTTCGGCTTCCTGGGTAGAGCTTGCTTCCACGACGATCTGCGCTGGTTGTTCGTCTCGTTCTTCAGCTGGTGGAGGAGAAGGTGTATCCAAAGCGTACAGCCCATCCTAACAACAAACCAGTTAGCCTTGCTTTCCCCGAAGTACACGCCCCAATGCAGAGCGTGAAGGACAGAACCGAAAGAAAGAAAGGCAAAACGAACCTCCCTCACCCCAAATCCAACCACACTATCCCCCACCACCCGCCCGCGAACCACCCTCCCCCCCCTCTTCATCACCTCCACTACCCTCCCCTTCCTCCATCCCCCTTCTCCCTCCCTCCCCGACTCAACGAAATCCTGATAGACCACCACCCGTGTAAACACACAACTCTCCCAGGCCGCCGACCCCGCCACCACAGGACACAGCGTTGCCCGCACCTGGCCCCGAATCCGGGTGTGGGTCTGGTTCGTCACCAGGACGGCCATGTTTCCTGCGCCTCCGCCGGCCGTACTGGCCAGCTTGGCCAGCTGCGTCGCCAGATCGCTCAGCACGTTCCATTTGCGGTTGACCAGCCACTGGACGTGGGCTTTGTCATGCACCTGCGAGCCGGCGCTCAGGGCGGCGCGTTGGTCGCTCGGGTTGGGGAAGTACGGGGGGAAGGGGGCGGAGATGGAGTCAACCACTAAAAGGGTGGTGGACGGTGGGGGGAAGTTGGGGGGTGGGTGGTGGATGAGGGAGAGGAGATGCGGGAGGGTTGGCGCGTGGATATGGATGAGACTTTGGGCTTGATTGCTGGGATCAGATTGGTTTTCTTGTTGCTGTGCAGCGAGAAGGCGGCTGAGTTGGCGGCGGGGAAGTGGGGGGCCCGTGTCTGATATTGAGGTTTAGTTTGGGGCGTGGTGCAGCAGGTAGTATCGAGAGGGGTAGGGGCACGCCTACCTATCCAGACGACCTTTTCGCCCTTGGCTAGGGCTGTTGCTGCGGTGTTTAGGCTGCAGTGGTGTGTTGGTTACTGAAGAGGTAGATGTTGCGGGAGGAAGGAAAGAAGACGAACGCTATGGCGGTCTTGCCTGCTCCCGGGGGCCCGAAAATCTCCGTGACATGACCACACGGTAGACCCTTGCTCTGCAGATCCCCGAAGCCTTGGAGATCATCTTCGATGGGCGGGGTGACTGCCTCGTCGAGCTGGGGGAGCCCCGTCGAGACGGTCTTGTTGCCTAAGGCAGCCGACGCGGTCGACGCGTGCAGGGACTGCGAGGCCGGGAAGGAGATGACTCGGTCTAGGAATGTTAGCTGCTTGTTGTCTGTGCTCAATTACTGAGATAGTGGTATCACTCACTGGGATCCTGACTGGGCAGGCCCAGAAAGTCGAGTCGATTCATGATGGAAAAGATAGATGAGATGGTTGAATGGAATTAAGGGTCACGCGTCGCGCGCGCGTCTCGGCTTGTTCACATCCAGCGGGATATGAGGATCTTTTGATTACGTGCTGGACTGAGGCTGTGATGCTGTCATGGTTGAGCTATCACTTTGAGCATCGTAACGAGGCTGTGGATAGTTGCCCTGACAAGTGGCAGTTGACAGTTGACAGTGCTCAGAAGACCAGTCCAGTCCATCCCGCACCGCATCGGCATTGGAAGATGTTTGATGTTCTGGAAGCTCGGGAACGAGCCGAGATCCGATCTCGCCCCGATCTGATAAAAATCGGCCCCGCGGAGGGCCTGCACTTTTTGGAATCACGTCGACAACACGATTATAATTGCAGTATAACTCAATTATCTTTCAGTTCGGGCCTACATCAACACTATATTCAAACCTATATCTCACCGAGTCCACCCTAGTCACAGGTCCAAGCAGAAAGACCCAAACCCACCACCATCAATGCATGACTCAAATCTCACCACCCTCGATGCATTAGACAATGGCGCATCTTCACTCCAACCCCTCCTCCCCTACATCATCGCACTCATCGTCCTCCTCCTCCCACTGACACCCTACCTCTGCTCCTCCCCCGAACCCCCACGCGGCTGTCGCCGCCTCGGCACCAAGAAGAGCAACATCGCCGACGAATACGACCCGCAATACAGCGCAGGCACCCCCCGCGACGCCATCGACCCCAAGACCGGTCTCCCCGCATGGCGCATCAAAGCGCTCTTCACCTACCCGATCAAGAGCTGCACGGGGGTCGAGCTCGACAGCGCGGAGGTGATCGACACCGGGCTGAAGTACGACCGGCTCTTCTGCTTTGCCGAGTACATCGAGGCGAAGCAGCCTGCCACCACCACCACCACCACCACCACCACCTCATCACACGACAACCAGAGCAAGGAAACCGGACACTGGACCGCGCGCACCCTCCGCGACCGGCACTTCTGCAACCTAGCCCTCGTGCGGCCCGAGATCTGGGTCCCGGATCCCACCTCCCCAACGTACTCCCCGTCCCTACCTGAGGTGCAGTCCCAGGGCGTGCTGGTCATCCACTACCCGCGCACGCTGGGCCCCGGCCTCGCCCGCCTACCCCTCCTCCCCGCGCTTTTTAGATTGGCTCTCACGCTGGGCCTGCTCCCCCGCGAGGAGTCCTTCCGCGTGCCCCTTGACCCCCACTCCGACCCCAAGCCTACAGAGGAAGGGGAATACCGCCTCCGCCCCGTCAAAATCTGGAAAGACACGCCACTCGCCCACGACTACGGACACCACCTACCCGCCTCTCTGCGCCGCTTCCTGGCCGATCCAACCACCACGACGACCGACGCACAAAAACCACTCACCCTCTTCCGCGAGTCCGCCGCCCACCACCGCCCGATCTTCCGGAACGCGCCCCCGAAACAGCAGCTGGGCTTCCAGACCGTCACCGGATTTCAGGACGCGTACCCGCTGCACCTCCTCAATCTGGCCAGCGTGCGCGATGTGGCGGCGCGGTGTCAGACGGACATTCCCCGGTTGACGGTGCGGCGGTTCCGCGCGAATGTGGTCGTGCAGGGGCCCGGACGGTTTGAGGAGGATGCGTGGCGGCGGGTTCGCGTCGGGGGGAGGGTTGGTTTTGAGGGGGAGGACACCGGTAAAGAGGACGAAGGGGTGGAGATCCATCTGGCGTGTCGGACGATGCGGTGTCGGTTGCCGAATGTCGATCCGGATACCGGGGTGCGCCATCGCGCGGAGCCGGATCGCACGCTGAAGGCGTATCGACGGATCGATCGGGGGGATCCCACGAATGCGTGCTTGGGGATGCAGTTGGTTCCGGCGGTTCGGAGTAAGGTTTTTCTCTTTTCCTATACGGGGTTGTAGCGGGTCTGGGGATCTGTGCTAACGGCTGTCTAGACTTCACGCTTCGCGTCAATGATCCCATCACGGTCCTCGAGACGGGTGAGCATTGCTATATCAAGATGTTGGCGCCTGGGGAAGTGGTCGAAGGAGTCTGATGGAAGGTTACAGTGGCTGGCGAAAGGCTATATTAGAATATGTATATCATTGCATTAAATAATCCCGTAGAATTCAAATTATCGCTCATCAAGGGTATCCCAATCCATCGATCTGCCCTCACAAGGGTCGTAGTCAATCTAAAACAAAAACAAACAAATTTTGCTTCAAGTCATACAGCTGAAACTCCAGACGGATGCTCCCCCTTCGTGTACTGAGCATTCTCAGGCTCGTCCGGCTGTTCGACAGCCCGAGGTTCGGCTCGAGCCTCGACAACAGCCGCCCCCTCATCCGCCTCTTCCGGAATGATGAGGTTCAAGATCACCCCCAGAATGGCGGTGATAGCGAATCCGTTGTTCATGACCAAGTCAATCGCATCGAGCAGACCAGTCAGGCCGCGGTTGTTGCCGCTGTAGGTGAAGAAGTAGGAGAACCAGGTGGGCACCAAGGTGACACCCATGCCGATGGAAAAGGAGGCCGTCAAGACAAAGCGGTTGCGCCGCGTGAACGGCACGGTCGCGATGATGCGGACCCCAGAGATGGCCACGGAGGAGAAGAGGAACGTGGTCATCCCACCCAGCACAGCGCTGGGGATGGAGGTGAGGGCGGCGGCAAACTTGGCAAAAATGCCCATGATGACCAAGAAGAAACAGCAGCAGTAGCCAGCCTTGCGGTTGGCGCACTTGGTCAAAGCAATGACACCGTTGTTCTGAGCAAACACAGACATGGGGGTGATCGTGCACAGTCCGGCCAGCAGACAGGTGAATCCATTACCCAAAACACCACCCTGGACGCGGGAGTCAAAGGCAGGTCCCTCCACCTCTACCTGTGATACATCACAGGTGGCGGTAATATCTCCGATCGACTCCATCATGACCACGATGTACACGGCCAGCAGGGGTAGGATCAGAGGTGCGTAGATGGTCAAAGGGAAGGTGCGGACCCAGATGAACGAGGCCACCGGGGCAGCATCGATGCTCGACCGATCGAAGTATCCGCAAGCGGCAGCAATAATGCAGCCAACGAGCAGGCCGATGATCACAGCGCAGGACTTCATCATTGGAGCGCCAAATCGTTCGCACAGGATAATTGTCACAAAGACCGAAAAGCCGAGTCCAATGAACTCGGGGCTGCCCCAAGGAAGAGCATGTGGCGAGTCTGCACTAGGGCACAGTGCACGGCTGGCTGCATCCGTAAAACAGGTGCCCGAGCCACCAGCCCAGTCCTCCATACTCGACTGAATCAGACTGGCTCCAATCAACAAGATCGTGGGACCGGTCACCAAGGGTGGGAAAATGCGTTTCAGGATCCGAGGGCTCATGAACGACAGGCCGATCTCGAGCAAGGAACACAGACACGACGTGCCCAGAAGAGCCCCATAGCCCTTCGGACACGGCAGGCGGTTCCCATCGCTATCTACCGGGCAGTACCCCGACGTGTACATTTGGTTGAACGTGCCGGTCGACACCGTGATGGTAGCGAACGAGGTGCCAACAACAGAGATCAATCCAGTTCCGACATAGAAGCGAGTTTTGTAGATGTGAAACCGGGCCATCTGTACGGCGGACAGTAGACCGGAGACGATAAGTGAAGTTGAAACTAGGTATTCGTAGTCTTTCGTGCCGAAGTTGGCACCACTCGTGCCACCGATTAGGATAGGAGGTGAGATAACTATTGAAGTCAGCAACGGGTTGTGATTCCAGGAACCTGTTCAACGAACCTCCACCCAGCATTGCCAGCGCATGTTGTAAACCCAAGAGGAGGGCCAAAAGAACGGGTACTTTGTCCTCCAGCCCGAAGAAGGGAGCGGACTTGCGGCCCCTGTTGATGAAAGGAAGATTGGGGGTGAAAAGGTATGCATAATCGTAGTCACCCACCAGTCCCTCTCTACAAGATGCTTGTTAGCATGGAAGAACGGGCGCTAGCAGGACTCGACCTGGCACACATACCTGGTGGTGAATGTCTTGACAATGCGCCGGGTCTTCTCCCGCCAGGACCGTTTCGGTCGCAAGTCGGGCCCGATCTGATCAGGTCCGTCCATGCTGAGTGATACTTGCAACTGGATACAAAGGTAGGTGGAGACTGGGTAGTGTATATAACGATAGATAGAATTGCCGGATTGGATTGTGGTCTAGACAAGCTCTCAACTCGTGGAATGGATCTGGGGAATCTAGCTTGAGATCACCCCAGGATTGTCCGAAACATCTGATGTCTATATAGATGGCAGCTTCATTACAGGCTTCCGAAGTAAATTCGTGTGATCTCAGCGATCGGGTGCAATGGATGATAGGAGACTATCGGTGGCGTGGAGGTGCGTGAATCAATCGAATAATGCCTTGGACCGGTTATCTCTAGGCTCTCCACGACTGGGAGGCGACCGACTGGAGACTGGGGAGATACCCAAGCGAGAGCACTAGACTGGAGGAGTCTTGGGGTGGTCATGGTGGTCATGGTGGGGTCCCGCGCGATAAGACTCAAGCTCGCTGACGGTCGGTTCATGTAACGCCTCTTGCCGGCTTATCAGTTCTCTCCCCAGATCGGGATCCGCCGACATCCATCTTCGGTGGCGGAGCTTCGTCGGTGGTTATCTGGCTGTATAGATCGAGGTGAGTGCGAACACCAGTTCTTTGATTCCCATGATGGCGAACTGTCTGGGATTGAGCTGTTTCTTTTAAGCTAGAGATGAGATATGAGGAAGAAGGACAGGAGTTTGTAGTATGGATGATGATGGTCGGATTGAGCATGGGTCGAACAGTCCGGGGAAGAACCAGAACCGATCGGGCAATCCATTAGTCACAGAAATTGGCCATTCGAGGACGCGGGGAAATGTCAGCCCGGATTCCGTCCACTGGTGTCCACTGGTGTCAACTGGTGTCAACCGGCATCAACTCTATCAGAACCACGCTGACTCCGGCTTTTGACTAACTCGATCTACTACTGTTGTGAGTTAATAAATTCCACTTCTTGACCGCATCTCGTCCGTTGCACAGAATGCGCACAGTGGTACAACCACCTGTACCAAACAAATGAGGTACCAGGTGATGTCCGGAGTAGTCGCCCGCCAATGACTTGTCCTACCTGCCAACCGGATCATGGTGGCATGAAATCTGAGGATCAAGCCTGACAGAAAATATGCACAGCATAGTGCTGGATGACGCGAAGCAATGGCTTAGATGTGACATCGACGGCATTGATTCCAGGAATCATCAATTGGCCATGATTATGTAGGATTGAGGCAAGCGGCCGACTTGAGGGAGCATTTGGAATGTCGTTGTCAACCGTATCATGACCTCAGGACATCCCACCGTAAAACTTATATTTGTGCTCGTGCATCTTGACATCAAGTGACCGCTTCGATCTATGCATTCCGGGCTTATATGCCTGAGGCAGGGGTAGGACGAGGTGGGCACCATCGAAATGTCTGGGATACGAGACTAGTCCAACAATAGATTCTAACTATGTCGATGCGCAACATCTGTGCTCCCATTTCCTTACATGAGACATGCTCCAATGAGGAAAAGGCCTCCACCTGGGGTACTGCGGAGGAGACTCCTAGGTAAGAGCTTGCGATGTTTCAAGCTATGGAGGTTCACATGGCATCACGTGTGGACACGGAGCGGAGGGTTGGGGTGTGGTCGGCCGAGCCTGAGGTGGTCATGCCTGAATCATATGGCGACGATCAGCGACGAGGTTGACCCGAGGTGAAAAGCTAGCCTGGATCATCATTGACTTCCCGTAGTGGCAAATTGGACGAAAACTCATACTCATAGATAGTTGCCGCCCATAGGGCTGCATCGGCTGCTTTCCTGGGCATTCCAGAACTCCTCGCCCGGCCCCAAATCCATTGCATTTGCCTTGCCTTGATTTACCACATTCATCCAAGTGCGAATGACCCCGGAGTTGCTCCCTCCGTCAGCCCACCCGTAGACTACGTACTAGACAGAGATTGATAACGAATCAGCCGGAGAGCTGGTGTGCAGCAGCGGAGAAAAGAGCCACTGGATGGCAAATGGAGTCACTCAGTCAAAGGACGGGCCTTAAAGTTGCCACACACTAGCCACGAAGAGAGGCGGTGATCAGCCACAGCCGCCTGCCAGGGCAGAAAAACGTTGGGGATTCAACAGATACTGCACGCCTGCTGATTGGTTGGACGCAGCCGGGGTTGCCGAAACGGGCAGAGTCTGGCCGGGGCTGGTCTGTCGAATCACGTCTCGCCCAACAAGCTTAGATGGTGGAAGAACGGGTGTTTTGTATGGTTGGAACTTTGTTGGAAGATCCCTCCCGAACCCGCCGCTGAAGCTGTACTTCTCTGTTCTGTACACTCACCACTCACCACCTAATCTTGAATGCAAGTGTATTATTCCTTCATATCCCGTTCCATCCATCCATCCATCCATCCATCCTCAAAGCACGGTGTTGCATTTGGCTTTGAACAAATACCTCGGGATCTTTCTTTTACTTGCCCCGGGCACACTCATCCAGCAGTCAGACCACTCACGACTGACCTGTGATCATTGCCGCATCATCCATCCTCGCCGCCAACCTTGCGTTTCCCCAACCATCATCCCGCCAGTGGACCCTGGGTCGAGTTCCAACTCCGTCCGATTTTTCCCCCTCCCCTCTGGGATTTGTTCAGATCCTTCATTCCTTTGCTGACTCCTCTCTTGCCTTCTGGATTGGATTATATTCCCCACCCTCTCCTTGCCTCATTCTTTTTTCTTCCCTTCTTTTATTCTTTGGGTCTCTTCTTCAATTCTTCCCTTTTTTAAAACCTCCCTCCCCCGGATCCTCCCATCCGCCTCGACCACTTCGTCTTCCACCACCCTCCTCATACTCACCTTGTAGAGGGTAGACGAGTGACAAACATCATTCAAAATGTCTGCAAAGCCAGCGGACGCTTCCCGGTCTCGTGCCGCGGACCCCAAGAAAGTTCACATTGCCGACACCGCGATCAACCGCCAGAACTGGTACAAGCATGTTAACTGGCTGAACGTCTTCCTCATCATCGGCATCCCTCTGGGTGGCTGTATCCAGGCCTTCTGGACGCCTCTTCAGCTGAAGACTGCCATCTGGGCCGTCATCTATTACTTCTTCACCGGTCTGGGCATCACTGCAGGTTCGTACTTCTCCTGATTTGCTTCGCTAGGAGCAAGATGCTAACGGTAGCTCGACATAGGATACCATCGTCTGTGGGCTCACTGCTCCTACTCCGCTCGTCTTCCTCTCCGTATCTGGCTCGCTGCCGTCGGTGGTGGTGCCGTTGAAGGTTCCATCCGCTGGTGGGCTCGTGACCACCGTGCTCACCACCGTTACACCGACACCGACAAGGACCCCTACTCCGTTCGCAAGGGTCTGCTCTACTCTCACCTGGGATGGATGGTGATGAAGCAGAACCCCAAGCGCATCGGCCGTACCGATATCTCTGACCTGAACGAAGACCCCGTCGTTGTCTGGCAGCACCGCAACTATCTCAAGGTTGTTTTCGGCATGGGCTTGGCTGTTCCCATGCTCGTTGCTGGCCTTGGCTGGGGTGACTGGTTGGGCGGCTTTGTTTACGCCGGTATTCTGCGTATCTTCTTCGTCCAGCAGGCCACTTTCTGCGTCAACTCGCTCGCCCACTGGCTCGGTGACCAGCCCTTCGACGACCGCAACTCTCCTCGTGACCATGTCATCACTGCTTTGGTCACTCTGGGTGAGGGTTACCACAACTTCCACCACGAGTTCCCCTCCGACTACCGCAACGCTATCGAGTGGCACCAGTACGACCCCACCAAGTGGAGCATCTGGATCTGGAAGCAGCTTGGTCTCGCCTACGACCTCAAGCAGTTCCGCGCCAACGAGATCGAGAAGGGCCGTGTCCAGCAGCTCCAGAAGAAGATTGACCAGAAGCGCGCCAGACTTGACTGGGGTACTCCCCTCGACCAGCTTCCCGTCATGGAGTGGGATGACTATGTTGAGCAGGCCAAGAATGGCCGTGGCCTCGTTGCTATTGCCGGTGTTGTTCACGACGTGACCGACTTCATCAAGGACCACCCCGGTGGCAAGGCCATGATCAACTCCGGTCTCGGCAAGGACGCCACTGCTATGTTCAACGGTGGTATCTACTACCACTCCAACGCTGCCCACAACCTGCTCTCCACCATGCGGGTTGGTGTCATCCGTGGTGGATGCGAGGTTGAGATCTGGAAGCGTGCTCAGAAGGAGGGCGTCGAGTATGTCCGCGATGGCTCCGGCCAGCGGGTCATCCGCGCCGGTGAGCAGGTGACCAAGATCCCCGAGCCCATCCCTACCGCCGATGCGGCATAAAAGACTCGTTCATGACTACCACCTATCATGAATGTACCATTTGCGTCCTGTTTCCGCCTCTGGCGATGTCTCCTGTCTTATAATTTAGCACACAGGGCGTTTGATGATATTCCGAGTGTTGGGAGTTTCCGGAGTTAGCCTTGACTTTGTTTTTTTTCTTCTTTTTTACCCCGCAGACAGAGCGTGTCTAGTTTGATGAGTGGCTTGCGCATTTGAAAAGCGACATGATATGATCGAAACTCCACAATGCTTGTTAAGAATAGAGCAATGAAGATATCCACATCAAACTTTGGTTCTTTGTAGCTTAGCTTGTTCGTAGGTAAGTGGGCTGCCAACCCCGCACAGTTCTGATAGCGGGAGCATGCAGGGTAGGTATTCTGTGGCTGTTTGTCAGCCTGGTAGTGCAGTAGATCAGCAGGTATAGCAGTGTGGAATTGTGGACTGGTGAAACTGGTGAAACTGGGTGAAACTGGGTGAAACTTAAAGGGCAACCGAGGGTGGATTGTGGACTGACAGACTGTGGAGAAAGAAAGAAAGAGAGGTTGTGTGGGTTTTTGTTGTGGTGCGGACACTGCTGGAGTGGGATCCACCTGACCTGAGCTGATCGAGGTTCAACTGGCAATAACAACAGCTTTCATTGTCTTGCATCACAACTGCATAGCCACGTATTATTCCCCGCCCCCTCCCCCTCCCTCTCACTCAATCTGCCTACTCGCCATCCCATCCTTCACCATTGCTACCCCTCAATTCCGCCGGACCTTTTATCTACCCGCCCTCCTCGTCCTTCTCGTGGGCGTTTTCCTCGTCACCGTGGCTCCTCCGCTTCGCATTTCCTCCCCCACCTTTCGACTCACTTCAGTCCTGGGCCATCTCCGTGGCTCTCGACTGCCCACTGCTCTCAACCCAGGGTTGACGAACCTCCGCAAATCTCTCACCACTGCCAGCATGGCCCCCGAGCACCTCCGCCGGCCTCCTCAGGCTCCTCCTGTCTTCACCGCCACCGTCCAGTCCATCCTCGACGACGCCAACCGGCTCATTGCCAGCTCCCGCAAGGTCCAGGACGATGTCGTGGCCACCGTCAAGCCCGAGTCGGCCACCTTTGACAACGTCGTGAAGCGCCTGGCCCACGATGAGAACGCCATCGCGCTGGAATCCCACATCCTCGGCTTCTACCAGGCGGTGTCGACCGAGCAGGAGCTGCGGGACGCCTCGTCCAAGGCCGAAGCGCTGATGGACGAGTTCTTCATCGAGGCCGTCATGCGGGAGGACGTGTTCACGCTCGTCGACGCCGTGCTGAAGAAGGACGAGTCGCTCGACCCGGAGTCCCGCCGCCTGCTGGAGAAGGAGCACAAGAACTACATCCGCAACGGCCTGGGTCTGCCGGCCGGCCCGCAGCGGGACCGCTTCAAGGAGATCAAGAAGCGGCTCAGTCAGATCAGCATCGAGTTCCAGAAGAACCTCAACGAGGAGAGCGGGGGCATCTGGTTCGCCCCGGAGCAGCTGGACGGGGTCCCCGAGGATGTCCTGTCGGGCCTGAAGAAGGGCGAGGGCGAGCACGAGGGCAAGCTCTGGCTGACCTTCAAGTACCCGGACCTCTTCCCCACCATGAAGTACGCCAAGAACGCCGAAACCCGCAAGCAGGTCACCATCGAGAACGAGAACAAGTGCAACCAGAACGTGCCCCTCTTCCAGGAGGCCATCATCCTGCGGGACGAGGCGGCCCGTCTGCTCGGATACCCCAACCACGCCGCCTTCCGCATCGAGGACAAGATGGCCAAGACGCCCAAGACCGTGAACGACTTCCTGGGCGACCTACGCTCCCGCCTGACGGCCGGGGGCCAGAAGGAGCTCAAGACCCTCCTGGAGCTGAAGAAAAAGGACGTCGAGTCCCGTGGAGAGAAGTTCGACGGCCACTACTACCTGTGGGACAACCGCTTTTACGACCGTCTCCTGCTGGAGCAGGAATACTCGCTCGACCAGCAGCTCATCGCGGAGTACTTCCCCCTGCAGACCACCATCGAGGGCATGCTCAAGATTTTCGAGGAGCTGTTCGGCCTTGTCTTTGTGGAAATCACGGGCGAGGATCGCGAGAAGGTGGCTCCCACGGGCAAGGGCAGCGACATTGTCTGGCACGAGGAAGTCCAGATTTTTAGTGTCTGGAACGACGAATCCGAAGGCAGCGGGTTTGTGGGCTACCTCTACCTGGACCTATTCCCCCGCACCGGAAAGTACGGCCATGCCGCCAACTTCAACCTGCAGCCGGTATGTTTTAATGCCGTTATGCCTCCCAAAATGAGCTCCACTAACAGAACCGCAAGGGATTCATCGACGCCGACGGCAACCGCCGCTACCCGGCGACCGCGCTGGTGTGCAACTTCACCAAGCCCACCCCCAAGAAGCCGAGTCTGCTGAAGCACGACGAGGTCGTGACGCTCTTCCACGAGCTGGGCCACGGCATCCACGACCTGGTGTCGAAGACCATCTACTCGCGCTTCCACGGCACGAGCACCGTGCGCGACTTCGTCGAGGCCCCCAGCCAGATGCTGGAGAACTGGTGCTGGACGCCCTCGCAGCTGAAGTCCCTCAGCCGGCACTACTCGACCCTGTCGCCGGAGTACCTGGCCGCGTGGAAGGAGCAGGCCGACGGCAAGACCCCGCCCGCCGCGAACATCCCGGACGAGGTCATCGCCAACCTCATCCGCACCAAGCACGTCAACGACGCCCTCTTCAACCTGCGCCAGCTGCACTTCGGCATCTTCGACATGACCGTCCACCAGCCCGAGAGCCACGAGCACATCAAGAACCTGCCCATCTCCGCCACCTACAACCGGCTGCGCCACGAGATTACCCAGATCGAGGGGCCCGAGAGCCTGGGGCTCGGCGAGGAGTGGGGCCACGGTGAGGCCACCTTTGGTCATTTGATCGGCGGGTATGATGCGGGATACTATGGCTATCTGAGGTAAGCTCGTTCTGTTCCCTCTCTTTTTTTCTCGGCTGCTAATCCCATTCCAGCTCGCAAGTCTACTCCACCGACATGTTCTACACCGTCTTCAAGGAGAACCCCATGAACCCCGAGGCCGGCCGTCGCTACCGCTTCAAGGTTCTGGAGAAGGGCGGCAGCCAGGACGAGATGTCCATCTTGACGGACTTCCTGGGCCGCCCGCCTAAGACTGATGCCTTTTACAAGGATATGGGGTTGGCTTGAGTGGTTCGGGGGGGAGTTGATGATTATGAGTTGAATGAATGAAGTATACAAGAGATATACCAGTGTAATCAATGAATAATTGACTGTGTATATCGGATGAAGAAGGGATGTAAACGTAGCTGGTGCTGTGTATTGCAAGGATAATGGGGTGAAACGTCGCTTGGGTCAGGTGTAACTCCCGAACAACCCTGATGAATTATGTAACAGTTGTGGAGAATCTGAGATGGAGCAGTCCGTCCCGTCTACGGGAAATGGAAAGAGGATTGTCTTCTGGTCAGTTCCGGTCGAAGCATGTGGAAAGGGCCCGCAGGAATTGCCAAATATTGGGAATCGGTCATCACAAGGTATTCAGGGCTTGAACCAGCGAAGCGGTTGCAGTACGTCAATATACAGGAACAATGGTCTGGCCCTGGCACCTAGCTGGTCTTTAAAACCCACCCCGATTGGCTGCATTACTGTCCTCGTCATCAGCCGTGATTAAATCCGACGGAGTAGTTGCATTATCCCCGTGGAGGTCACGTATACGTTCGATCCGGCTTGCTCTGTGAGCAAGACAGCCATATAAAGTGCAGGTCTCCTCGAAGCCACCACGATCAACCACACTCCACTCTCCTGTCAATGCCGTCTTCATCTCGTCGTTGACAGCATTGCTGACCGCATTCGAGGGTGATAGGCAGGACGTGCAGTGTTTAGTATGTGTTCTGTGACCTATCGTAGCACTGCTGCTGCTGCTGCTGCTGCATGGCATTACCCCCGACATTACGGAGTAGCAGACATTGTGTGACAAGCAGGGTCATCCTTACATCCGTGAGTACCCTCCCCGACTCAAATTCGAAGATCGGCTTCGTGTGCATTTAGTCGGGTTTGTCCCACTGGATCGGCGTGGGATTCTGGTTGAGAATCCGGAGTAACGTCAACAGCAGCCGAGAAGTGGAGCAGTGGAAGCTCACCTTGACCTTTCTTGCCGGACGCGTCCGACAGCTTTGAGCACGCCAGGAAGCTTCTGCCCATCCTAGCTCAGTATCCCTTCTGGGTCACATTCGGGTTGGTTGAATCATCGCTCCCAGAGGTGATACCTCTTGAAGTGGAGGTGGAGAGGAGAAGTGGTTCCCGAGTAGTACGCAATGCCGGACGGCAGAACATCGCCCCGGGTTGGTATACTTCATTTCAGCACTCCGAAATGATAGTTCATTGTTACTGTGATGGTCGAGTCAATGCGAAACGGAAAGAGCAACATGTGTCTCCCCGGTGCGAAAGTACAACAACCTTTCGCAGAGGGATGTCCCCGCTATCAAGGATAACAAAATCAAACCGATTGCCATCTGGGATGGCACCAAAACAGCCAGCCAGCGTTGGACTTCCTTCCTGCTTTTCTGCGTAGCTTCACCGATCCTAGACGGGGATTAGATCCAGTGGACAGCTATGCTATCCGGAGGTGAGGATTTGGGATCAGGTACAGTATTTACCCATATAGCCAAGGGTTGGGGCAGCATTGGCCTCGGTATATGTATGGACCGCCTGTTCTACTAGAACTGGTAGTTTGTCGGCCGTGCGAGCCACTCCCTGCATCGATTCCAAGCGCTTTATCACAGCCTAAACTGCTTCCTCCATCTGGTGTGAAGGAGCTTCCATGATTCCTTCCATCATAGATTCAGCATGACGATACTGGGCATATTCGAGCTCAGTACCTCCTGTATTGAATTTCTTTCTAAAAAAAGAAGGAAAAAAAAATTCCAACTACTCCAGGAGGGGCTGACCCGCCTCCTCCGCCTCCTTACGAATGCTACGGATACACTCGTAAAGTTTCTTGGCTTTGTCGCGCGCCTCTCCGGCCGCCCTTTTGGCGTCCTCGACGCGCTCTTCTGCGGCTCTGGCCGCATCGACGGCACGATCGACTTGCTCCCGAAGGAGCTTGTAAGCCCCCTTGGCAATGTCGAGGCGCTCCCTCAGCTCACTCATGTGAGACTCCTGACCATGGGTCAGTCTGCGCTTCTTATACGCAGGGGCCTCTTCCTCTTCGAAGATTATCATCGGGGGCATCCTGACCCCAGGCCAGGAGCTCCACCTGCACAATGAACGAGAGGCTGTA